AACATTGCCGTCTTGTCCACCAATTTTCAGTTCCTGACCCACTGTGCGACAACATTGCCGTCTTGTCCACCAACTTTCAGTTCGTGACCCACTGTGCGACAACATTGCCGTCTTGTCCACCAATTGTTAGGTCGTGACCCACTGTGCGAATTCCCTCCTCTTTTGCCGCACACTCCCCGCCTAAAACTTTCAAAGCTCGCCATTTTTAAACGGCTCGACCGATTTCGCTCAAATTCAATACCAGCCTAGAACTAAGTAAGATCTTCCTTCTGTAAAAATTTCGGGGGAAAAGCTTTTAATTTGCGCGAGTTATCGCGCCCACAAAATTGAACCTCCCCCACTTCTCGCCCCCACCATTCGAAATGTAATACTTCGATCTCCGTTTTTTTTTCACAGAATGGTAGTCCTGTTCCTCTACTGTACATCGCAAAAAGTTTCACTCGGAAATTTTTTAAAATGAGGGAAATATAACCAAGCAAAAATCGGAAAAACCACGATGAGTCGGAAACACATACATAAATAAACAGATATATAAATAAATATATATATATATATATATATATATATATATATATAAAAACAAACATGAATTCAAACGGCATGCATATTCGTTATCTACGACCCATGATCGATGCTCATTACATGGTCCTTGGTCCAGGTCTGACATCAGGGGAGAACGCAATAGTGTATTTCCTTCGGAAAATACACTAAAAAAGGATGATGGATAAAATAGTGTTGGACGCGAAAATTGTCTTTACTTCAAAAATGTTGTTAGATTAAAGGTTATTATATCAAGGTTTTAATGTAATAACTAATAAGTTCTATGTAATGTATTAATTTCTTACTTGGAAGAGGAGATGGTTTCAAAGAGATGCCATACGAGGTAGATGGGATGGCTCTCAGCATGTAATAATCTAAATGAGACCAGATCAAGTAGAAGCAGTGTTCAATAATAAACAAGCAGCGACTTAGTTCCAACTTCTTGTCAGCCAATCGTTCCGAAACTTCTGTTGATGCTAGATATTGTAATTCTTCTAGACTTTGAACATTCTTCGAGCCTTCCGGAAGATACTGGAACAATAAAAAATGTCATTAAATTCTGAACTAGAAAATGTATAGTTGAAAGCAAAATAGTCATCAAAAAATTATGACAGTACAAGACTAATTCTGGCAATTCTTGAGTTTTTGAGTTCAATTTCTCAGAGGGGTTTTTGACTTTCTTCTAATATTTTACAAATAACGAGCAAGGATTGGTAGGTAATAGAAGTGGCAGAGCTAAAGTCAATTTTAGACCACGAGAATTCGGGAGAACCAAAGACTTCTGTGCAGCGCCCAACACATTTTTTGATTGTTGAAAACTATTTACCGTTTCTATTGTATCAGAAACAAATCTGACGCCTAGCGCACAGAGAGCTCTGAGTCTGTCGGTCAAAATATGGCGTAAGTACACCTTTCCTACCATGACACTATCTGCTTTAAATGTAATCTAATATTTTAATGCCTTCTCGGTAAGTAACAATTGTTTTACCCGTCTTCATTATCGTTTAAGACAGCTAAAACCAAAAACAAGGTCTTGCAAAGTCTTCAAAATCCTTGCTCTCAACAAAATTAGATACTTTAAGACTTTTTTCGGACTTCTAATTTGTTCAAGGTTTCAGAGCTTTCGATGAGTTCAACAGAGAAAAAGGATAAAAAATCACTCTCTGCCACTTTTCATGGGGGGAAAGAGTTTTCTTGACATCAATCCCATTTATAAGTCAGATAAATTTAGAGGAATTTTTTTGAGACTTCCGATGTTGCATAAAAGTTGCAGTTGAAAATTAGACCTCTGTCTTGAAAAAGAAAAAAATGATTTCAATTTTTGAGATGTTTTCAAATTCAGGCGTCAATTTCAGGAAAAGAGTTTCAGGCGAAAGAGGAAAACAAAGAAAGGGAACTTACATCTTGTAGAGCTGTGGAAGTGAGGGATGGAACTGAGGACAGTGTGCTGCTAAGGAGGTTGACGTTCGCCCTTTCTCGATGATAATGTGCGACACATTGGACAAGCTGTGTTACAATGACTCCTAGGCTCAGATCTTTGGTTACGACGTCCATATCTTCCGCTGACCTAAGGGTATCGTTAAAAACAGGCACTAAAACAGGCGTAGTCAATCGCCTATCTGCACTACTCAAAGTGGTCAAATTCCTAACGTACATCAACAAATTTCCTGCTACCTCTAAAACATTACACACGACTTCGCTTTTCCCTTTTTTAACATCTGTCCTGGTTGTGTTGATGTTACGAATTAATGAATCTGAGATTACAAAACGTGGCACTAAACTAAACATCAACTTCTTTATCCTATGCAAATGAGAGAGGTTCTCTTGACTAACATCATATTCCAAGTCATCATTCACTGTTTGGTTTGTTGTGAAAGCTATAAGAGCTGTGATTTGTGCAAGCTCTTTCAAGAATGGTAACCGTAAGAAGGGATTTCCTGATCTAAGGATTTGAGCAATAGCATCACTATGGCTTAAAATAAAACTAAAAACTTGAAGAACAGCAGATTCATTGTGCTTCCCAAGCGTGATCAAAACGACTCGGCACAAGGCTAGTGCAGGTGTTAACAGTTGAAGATATCGGATGGCGATGCTGGGAAGAAAATCTATGTCCATGGATGCAGATGTATAGGACAGAATGTCTGGGTGGGCATTGAACACTTCTAACGCACTGAGAGCTCCGAGTGCTTTTTGTTCGAGAATGAGCTCTGCTCCGAACGGTGTTGTGGCTATGCGACACAAAAGGGCCATCTTCGCTTCATAAACATATAAGGGGCGAAGAGTTTTTATTGATGGAGAAAGAAGGCCTTGTAGCTCTTCATCCGATTCCAGTAGACATTCCACGAGGTATTTGATAAAACCTCTTGATGACAGAATTGAAACCCATTGAGGATTAGTGTGGACTAGGAGGTCTAGACATGAGAGCGCCAGCATCTGGAAGATAAAATAGAAAATTGGTAAACATTTTTTAAACAGTTGAAGAAAAGAATAGTGAAATAAACTTATAAATAAATAAATAAATAAATAAATAAAGATGGTTGCAATCTGAGTTAGCTGACAGGAAAAACATTTGACTAAGAAAAAGGTTACGACAGAAAGAGGAATTGTTGTCCCACTGGATTATCAAATACAAATCAGTGTTAATAATTAGATTTCACAGAGTCAATTTACTTGCGTAATTTGAACTTTAACTAATATAGTGCCAACATCAATCTAGCAATCAAATTCCACAGATTATTTGACTGATGAAAACTTGGAAACTACAATTAAATTTTATAATGATATGAGAATAAAGAGGCTAAATACAATTGAAGATTAACTCAGAAAGAAAAAGATTGGGGTGAAATAGAGAGAAAATTTGGGACCATTCGAATGATCACACCTTCACTTTCAATCAAAATACAATTTTAAAAAAAGATGAGTTGAAAGTAAAATACAATGGGTTACTGCAAGCAAGAAAGCTCATCCTTAAATTATAGTTTTGAAATGTTTGAAATGTCACTTGATTGCTGAATGTATATAGTAAAAGGCTTTGCTATCTGTGCTTCTTGACAATCATGGTGAATGGTGATGGAAGAAATAATAAAATCTAAACTTACTCTGCAGATGTCATGTCCACTTGTGCTATCCTGGCACAAGACATGAAATAGTGGCTCTTTGCACAAATTTAAAATGACATCTGTTCCAGGCGAGCGAGAGGTTTCGCTGATACTGCTTCCGAGCTTCCTTATTCTATTCATGAAAAATTCATCTACTTCATTCACTTCAACGTCTTCGGCGGTTTTTCTGGCACTGATTTGTTTGGTTTCTTCTTCACAGAAATGAAGAAAGTTGAGCAAAGATCCATATAGATTACAACGGATCATTTGTGCTTTTGCTCCTGCAACAAGAATATAATATGGTAAAAAACTAACAAAAAAAAATCATGTTATGGACTCTAAATTGTTTTCCTTTAACAATTAATTGAATATAGAAATTATTTCATGATACTCTGTGAAATGACTTAAATTTGATGCAGTTTAAATTTTGTCATTATTTAGTAGGATGATCTTTACAACCTCCATAAAACGAAGAGCTTTAAGAATCAAACTTTCCAAGTGCCAATAGCCAGAAAAACAGGACTGAATGTGAATTTTTCAGCATTCTAACAGACGTTTTCTTGAGGTGATAAGGGACTGCTACTAGGAGTGTGTAGGCGCTGAGCAACTCGCCGTTAGCATTCCAGCCTGCAACAGCAGTGCACTTGATGTGCTGAAGTGTGGTAAATAAATAAATATTCCAGCTCCTTACCTGAGGTTATAATCCAGGATATGATTGAATCAATAACGGAGTGAAAAATTGACGTATACGACTTGAAAAATGATACTTTTTTAGCTTCATTTATTGCTGACTTGGTAATTTGTATATAATTGCGTCTTGCATCAACGAGTAGCAGCAGAACAACTCCACTAGCCAGATTATCCATTTCCAAAGACACGTTCCCTACTTTCCTCTGAAATTCAAAATTAAAAACAATTTAATTTTTTCACACATATCTCAGGCATTTACCTGCGGACACACTCTCTGGGCTACCTTGATTTCTCATTTTAACTTTGAGGTTCATTTTTTCTGATTTTCAGAAATAGAAAACTCATATTTTGAATTTCTCTATCTTCAAGCTGATACACACATTTTTTCATGACAGGCTTGATTCATGAGCGTTGACGAGTTAGTTCCATTATAAATAATTAATAGTAAATGCGGTATTCTGACTTTATAAAAATCAATTATGTTACAGACGTTTACATGGATCGAACTCGGTGTTGCCACCTCGAAAGATTGCCATTAATTACCACATGCAATTTTTAGAATCACACTTACATGCAATTTTGTTGTTTACACTGGCCCTCTTTTCGTTACTAGTTGAATTATCCCATTTCATACTTCTATATCTAATAACTCCCTCTCTTTATTCCTATCTATCTCACATTACTATCACCATTACAATCTTACAGAAGTATCATTGAAACATCCAATCAAGGTTATTTAGCTACAGAGGAACTCATAACTATTTACAACAACCTAAGCTGCCGGACACAACTACAGTAGAGCTAAGGGTTCACTTTCCTCTTTATAGACGGTAAACAGTTCAGTAAGCTACAAACCTGGTTTAACATGTCATTCATTATCTCCAACAGTAACTGGAACCTGTCATTGAAACTGAAGAGCGAGAGAGGTGCAACTGCGAAAATGATACCAGTTACTTGACGCCATGCATCAAAGTACTGAACGGTTGATGCAGCCAAACACCTGCTCTCATTTAACTTCAATGCGTAAACGAGAACATCCTCGATCTCCTGGAGTATGAGCTGTCTTTGGCCAACAGTAGAGCCGTTTTGAACGGTTGACAACTCATCAATGAGGACTTGGTGCAGTTGCTTCACATTGATGAGTTTCACTTTGTTGTTACTCACTGGCACCTGACACTGATTGATGACCTGCGGGTGAAGCAACAGAGATTTAGGTTGAAGCCAAAAGATTGTAAATAAAATTTCACTAATTTTAGACATCAAAAGGCAACCCAACAACCCTGTTGCCTTCAATCTGTACTTTGATGTAAAAAATTATTTTTGAAGCTTGCATTTAATTCCTTGCATTAAACGGTGACACCTTTCCTTGAATTTTAGAATTTCTTGACTGTCCAAGCTCTTCAATCGAGAAGTTGTCTGATTTTTCAAGCACTTAAGACATGAAGTACTAAGTACTTTTCATGAGACACTTGTTGTGCAAAATTCAAGCTCTGTTGATAGAAAGAATGAGTGCCTTTAAAGCTATTCAAAATTTATATAAGGATAAGAAAATTCAACGTTTAATAGCTCTCCTTTTTTGGTTCGTCTAACCTAAAAATCAGTGGGCACTTGAAAGCTTCAGTTACCATTTTTTAGATATGTATTATTCAATCAAGAATGTTAGGAACCTTTCATAATAAACGTAACAGTAAACTTTGGATTTCAGGGCTCCTTTGTGACAAAGATCCTTAAACTGTAACTTGTAAAAACAAAATGGGCACAACAATCTCCTTGACTCCTCTTTCTTCCTTCCTAGAGCATGACATATTTTATGGTCGGCCCCGCACAGTATAAAAAATTCCATTAAAATAAGCTAACCTTCTCAAGCATAGATGGTTCAAAGTAGTTCCAGTTTGGTTGCTGAACTGAATCATGGCTGAATTTCAAAAGGTTGAGCAACCTCCGCAGTAGACACTTCTTTTCAGCTTCTTTTTTCCGTCGTAGACCAGGGTCATGACTTAGACTGAATACCTCTACCGAGTCAAGCGTCAATTCTTGAGATGGCTCCACATGATCTTCATTTCTTGTAAGCAGGTTGAGCAGATGTGTCACTTGCGATAACTGATCATTATTTGTGAGCACTTTGATTTCTATGGCAACCGTTTTGAGCAACCAGCTCATCTGATTCAAGATGGTGGCTTTAAAACAAAAAAATCATTCATCAAATTTTTGCGAGGAAAAAATATAAATCAATTGGTAAAAAGCTCTCATCTGATTTCAAACCAGTGAGATGGAGATTCTCTAATCTACCCTAGAAACATTTCTAGGAGAATTGAAAGAGTTAGTTCTTCAAACTTGTTTTAGCAAATGATAAAAATTTAAGCTATTTTCATGAAAAAAGTTTCAAGCAATGATACATTCCATTGTATATATAAATGAACAAACTAGATATATAAACTGAATTTTAGATGATAATGTCCAAAAAGAGAAGAAAAGAGGAGAAAAAAAAGAGAAAAATTAATAAATTATCCCTTTTTAGATCTCATCACTTTAATGAGTCTTTCATTCAAGACAAGCGAAAAATTTACCAAAATTCACAACTTGCTTTTAGAAATGGTGCGGGGCAAAAGTTTTATTTTTAATCAAGATGAAAACAAAGAGTCTTACTATAAACAAGCATAAAAATCAAATTTGATTCTACATATCAACAATAACTTAGAGAGAAATCGGATTTTGGTGCAGTACTTACGAGAGTTTTGACATGGGAATGGTAAGCTTGATAAATGTTTGTCGATAAAATCGTTTGAAGAGCGTAAAAATCGGAAGACTGGCTCTGTTGTTTTGGCATTAGCGCAGAGGGTGTACAAAACATGATATCCTTTTTCAACCAATCTTGGATGAATAGGAGGCCAAAAAAGTTGTTTTCGCTCAAGAAGAGAGTTGTTCAGAAGAGAGAGAAGTGAATGGAGACATGTCCTTGGATGCCCCAAGTAACCTTGCAAGAAAAATAGTATTCCACAATTAGTTCACTTTGACTGAAATTTGTAGCAAAAAAAGTCAGTATTTTCAAATTTACTTTTAAAAAATTATCATACCAGGCGGCCATCGAATTTAAAAATTGAAGGTCCCTGAATTTTCAAGGTATTCTGAGACCGTTTACGAAAAAATCTCATAACTTTTGATACAATACAGAATGATGAATAATAATTTTAAGCATTTCAGATTCAGCCAAATTGAGACAAACGTGAAGCTGTCTACATCATCACACAACATATACAAATTTGCCACTTTAATGCATATGATTTTCTCCTGACTATTAGTCATTTTGTTTTCTTTCACCCTTTTTTCGAACCCTAGGTTCTTTCCTTCCTTTCCCCAGATTGCCAGATTTTCTCTGACTGCAACCATCCTGTACATAAAATTCAAAATTTGTGTCAATAAGGCTGAGTTGGGCAAGTAGTTACATGGTGATCGCAATTCTATGGCTAAAGTTAGAAAATACCTAACTCCTCTTGCAACATTGCAATCCTCAGTTCATGCTTTAATATTTTTTTTTTTTAAAAAAAAAGAACCAGCCGTTCCTCTTTCAATTCTGTGAGAATCCTTCCCACTCATTCCAAAATATCCACTAAAAATTTACGGAGATACTTTCGTCATATTCTTTCAAAGTCTTAAATAAAAATAAGCTCACGACTTTCATTTCTTCTCACTGGCTTTTTCCTTTAAATAAAAAAATGTATTACCTGGTTGTTGAAAGACGGTTCTTTTGATATCTTTGCTCAGATCAAATCCTAGGAGGTAATGGGTCAGGTTTGGAGCTTGATGATTCAAACATTTGATTAGGAGTTTCAGAATAACTTCTTTTGTTTTTGAAACTACCCCCATTCCTTGCTCATCCACGTTCTCCTAAAAATGAGATTTCACCTCTGTTAATGAAGACATCACACCTAAATAATTTTGTTCATTCTAAAGTAAAATCTACTCAAATACTACAGTCAGTTGTGAATGGCATCATTGAAACAGGCATGGTAAAAATTGTTCAGAAATCATCAATAATACTTTGACATAACATACGTCTTGTGAATTCATTATTTACAACTGAGAGGCAAGGTTCAATTGTCAGTTATTGAAATTTTTCAGAATGGAAAATCTACTGGAGGGGGAAGGGCAGGCTGACTGATAGACACCTTTCATGTCACTGTGTTCTTTTACGTGTTCGTTCCATCAATGCCAGAAAAACATGGAAGAAAAAGGCAAAGTATGGTGGACAGTGTAAAAATCTGTATAAAGGCAACATACTTTTCCATCCGAAAGTTTTCCCATAGCTGTTGAAAGTTAATCATTAGTTGACCTAGGATTGCTGAAGCTGGCCTCATAAGTCCAACTAGTGCCACAACAGGGATGTATTGGACCCTTCAGCCCAAACGGGGACAGAACATTGTCATTTGTTTCGGGTGAAGTTTATAGTTTTTTATAAGTAAGTACCGCTGTTTCATGATCACTTTTGAGCTTTTAAAAATTGCTGTTATTTTGAAAGTAACAGATTTTATCAAATAATTAAAAAAAGAGGGATTTATTTTTTTAAGAATCTGAGGAAATTAAGATGAGAATACTATATAAATGCCGAGCAACTACAGAACTGAATTGTTCATAAAATGACAAAGAAAGAAGATGAAAAAAAAGAGGAAAAAAGAAACAAATTGTAGAATAGTAATTTACCACATCTAAGTCATCACTGTCCATACACTCGACGAAGCCATGTCGAATTGAAACTCTCAAAGAAGAGGTTGCAGTGAAAAACGTTACAAGATGCGATTGCGCAAATGAGTGGGACATCATAGCCAACAGAATCTGTACAGCGGCTAGGGAATGCTCCGGTAACCATGAGTTGTAGGTGACATACCTTTGAACAGTCAATGCCAAAATGGCTCACATAAATATTGAACCTCAACAATATTTCAATTCTTGGTATGTTTATTTTAAAGAAACATTCCCGAAATTGTTTACACAAACGGTTCAATGCCAAGATCAGAGCAATCAAATATTAAAAATCAAGAATGTAAAAAAATATAAATTGATATTTTTTAAGCACATGCCTCATTACAAGGGATTTTAGGAGGTACAGAGAGTTCATATACCTTGGAAAAAAATTTCAAATTTTTCAAAATTCACATTAATCTCATGACTTGTGTTGGTTACTTTCTTGCTCAAAATCATTTGAAACTTTGCAAATACAGCATAATTTTCATGTTTGTATGCATGGGTCTTACGATTCTAAAAAAAACCAACTTGACAGTCTCCCCCCTTCAAGCGTGACCACAATTAAGTCTGCAAGGTTGGCAGTCAATAACTTCATGTACTTCTGAATTTCACTTGCAAAAAAAATTACTAGTTTTCAGTTTATTTTATTATATTTTTCACAGCTTTTAACCTTAGCAAATTACCTGAGGCTGAATAAAATATATGGAGTAAGTTCTTCCTGGGGGAAAAAAAATATTTGAAAAATGTTTCGACTGAGTTACTTACTTGGTTATATTGACCAGATGATCGGGTTTTCCTGAACGAGGGTTGATACCCATGAGTAGCTTGTAAATAGGGGTGAGAAGCACTGGGGAACTGTTTGAGTTATTCAGTAACAAGAATTTTGGAGTGAGTGCCAAGACTTTTTCCAGAAGCTTGAGACAGTACAGCATTGATTGTTCAAGGTCGCTCTTGCCCGAAAACATTGAGAATGTATCAAGGAGGTTGCACCCTTCATCAACAAGGAAGAGAACCTAAATTTAGAGGGAAAAAAATCATTGGGCGTTAGTTATACCTTCACATGTTTCAACATTCAACTGGATGCCTACAATGAAATAGACCTGTGCAAGTCTGGTTCTCTCAATTTGAGTATTTTTTCACTTGTTTGTTTCACTTTTTAACTTTGTGTGTTTAACACACCAAATTACTTTCTGTTCCTACTTTACTTGAGGAAGTCTGTATACGATGCCAAATCTAATGAGTGATACGTTTATAGATTTAAAAAGTAAGCTAAACCAGATAAAAAGTAAATTTAAAAAAAAAAAATGTTGATTTGTTTTAAGCCTTAAGAAAAGATTAGTTTCTTTTATTTAAGTGAAAACTTCGAAAAATTAATGTTAGGCTGGGATTAAGATCTTTTTATTTTTTCTTCCTCCTTGTAAAAGTGTTCTACTTACAAGTATCAGAAAAAGCGAATAAAATGAGGTTTAATTGAATCACCATTTTTAGAAGTTCTGACTGCATTGACATGTTGAGCATTATATGATATCCGGCTGGTCTGTTGACACAAGTAGAACCTCCACCGTGAATTTCGACTCTACTTTCACTGAAATCTTGAACTTGAGGATCATACTGCTCAAGAAGTTTGTAGATAAGCTTCATACAGCTACAACTTACTTCCCACTGTAAAAAAAAAAAAAAAAAAAAAAAAAAAAAAAAAAAAATTCAGACAACATGAACTTTCTCTTTAAACTGAAATAATAACCTACAGGGCAAATTTCAAGTGTTTGTGGTTAATATCATGATGACATGAATAGTTGTGTCACCTGGGGTTATGAGTGACAGAAGATTCATCAATTGCAAAGCAAGGTTATAAATCAAAAGGAATGTTGTTCTTGAATCTGTCTATGCAAAATGATTCTAAAAAATTGATATTATTTTTCAAAAAGCGATACTTCGAAGGCCGAAAAAGCCCAGCCGATTACGTCATGTTAATTCTCATTTAGTAGCAAAATGATCATTTTCCTTGACAAATTAGTGTGAATCACGAAATTTCCAACATTATATTTTAGGAAATGTTTCTAAGGTTTATAAAAATTGTAATATTGAATTTATTTTGATTTCGATTATTCGTAGTTATTAAGGAGTCTGGCCACAATTGATAGCACAATTTGGTAATGAAAATGCTCTGTCAGTTGCTGTGGATTAAAGATGCAACATCAAAAGAAAAGAAGAAAAAAAAAAGTAGAGGATTTTAAAAATCAGGAAAACATACCTTCTCAGCAGGATTTTTGTACTGCCTGATGTTGAATCTTAAAAATACAAAATTCATTATGAAGTTCAAATATGGATCAAATCCTGGATTCCTCAGCCCTGCTCCGAGCATTTTTGGAACTGGAATGTCTGTTAATTTGTCCAATAACTCCAGCATTGCCCTTGTAAGAGGAAATTCTTCATTTCTAGCTTCTAATTCTTCCAGTTCGGTCTAAAACAAATGAATTCACTTTATAGTGGAAAAACATTATTTTTATGGATAACATTCCAATTTTTCTGTGAGTATATAGTACTAAAAAGTATACTACTTTCTATAGTATACTAGTATAGTCTCTAAACTGAAACATCAAAATAATTGCCACATATTCCAAAGTGCAGATAGCATATTTTATCTCTATTTACCTGTAGGCCTCTTGGTGAATAATTAGAAGTTGTTGGTACGGTTGTCAGGATTTGAGATGCTTCCAGGCTGTGCCAGATTGTGATGGCATTGGTTGAGGATTTTGCAAAAGCTGCTAGAGTTCGGAGGAGCTCCGCTTTCAAGGAAATTTGAACTGAACAACCGATCAATCCAATGAAAACATTTATCACATTCCAGGATGGGATTTCGCAAAAAGATACACGAGACACATCATCATGAGTTGCAACTGTTTTGATGAGACCTAAAACAGCATGTAGTCCTTGGATCTCAAGAGGTGTTATACCTTTCGGATGAGATCGGGTGCGATAAACAGTATCTGTTGTCAAGGGCAGTTCTTGACGCAAATTGAAATAATACCTGTAAAAATTTAGAAAGAGGAAGGAAATATTAATCCATTATCTATAACAACACAGGATGAGAAGAAATATGAGTAAAATGCATGGCAGGTCACTATAGTAAATCTTGAAGGTCTACTGATAAAAATGGAAGCTTCTGCCAACATATTACAGGTTATAATTATTATATATTTTTCGGTGGTACATAATAGAGTGCAATCAATTAATTATGACCCAGAAATGTTTAAAGATCTAACATTATATTTAAAAAAAAAAAAAAAAAAAAAAAAAAAAAAAAAAAAAAAACAATTACTTACTTTTTGCAGAGCTAAATACTAAATCAAACTCATTTTCCCACCAAAAATTTTAAATTTTTGGATTTTGCCGTTTTAAGTATTTTGGGTTTTAATTTAGCATTTGAAATAAAAATATGGTAAGTAAATGAAGTTCATATTTTTCAATGAAACGCACAGGAAAAAATAGTTATAAAGCCAACAGCAGTTTCTTTTTTACTTTGCACTTACTATAAAAACTCTAAATATACATGTTGATTACAAGGACTTAGTACCCTTTTTCAGTTTACTTGGGTAGCTTTGAACACCCGGATGGACCTAGCTTGCCACAGGCTATAGGCAATATTCATCTGAATGCACTAAAACAATATTTCAGAAATGATAAAATCACTCAAAATTATCAATGAATCTTGGTAGCCTTGATGATTTATTAAAAATTCCCAGATCATTGCCTGGTCCTGAACTAAACATTCACAAACTTAATGATAAAACAGCACACCTCTGACTGTCAAATATACTACATAATAGCATAACTGAGACAACATACCTATTAAATGACTCAAAAAAGTGATCCCAAGAGAGCATTTCATTATTTTGTTTCATGTGGTTGAATATATGGCGCGCAGCTTGTTCGCAAGATGCTAAAGATGTTAACATCTGAATATAAGGAACAAATAACATCGGTGGAAGATGATCACCAGCAGAGCGGACAAATTTAAATAAGGACACCTGGAACAAATAATAAAAAATATTCAGAACTTCTACGGACATCGTTGACAGACCCAACTCCATTAGGAAAAAAAAAACTTATCCATTTTTTATCATAATTTCAAGAAAAATTGTAAATCGAAGGCAAGAAGGCTTAAGAATCTCAACCTTAAATCTATACTTTATTATCTAATACAAATCTATATCTTATTTGTTATGTTATTGTCTTATCTTATTACTTTATGTTAGATCTATTTTCGGTGACTGTATTTTTCAGCCATATAACGCACCCACATTGAAGTTAGAATGATGACTGATAAAGCATCAATATCAAATTCAATACTATTAGAAGCAAAAACGATCAATCAAGAAACTTTGATGTCACAAGGCAATTAAACAAAGGGATAAGTTATAGGATAGCCTACAGGTAAAAAAAAATTATGATATAAACTAGTACTTACTTGTCTTGGAGGTGATTTGAAGGAATACGTGTGACCCTTTGAGTAACTTTCTTCCAGCGGATACCAGTAATCCAGCATGAGTTGCAAGTCAAGGGGGTCAGAGGAGTAAAGACGATGAATAACCAACATCAAATGTTCAAAGTGGTGTGGCAAATTGCTGGGAGGCTCAAGCCCTTCCTAATAAGATTACAATAAACATGATGGATATGAATTAAACTTTAAAAAATGTGCCCATGAGTGATAAGAATGAGAAATACAAGAGGAAAAGATTTAATAGTGACACGGCTTTGTAGGAATGCACCATTTTAGATACTATTAATGATCATCCTGGAATTTGATGAACTTTTCAGGCAGCGGATGGGATCATCACGATTGTCGAGGAACTTTCCGTTGAGATGGAGTCATCAATTTTTCCTTTGCATGCAATAATTAAATATACAACTGAAAATCTCACAATAGACAGAAAAAGCCAATTTTAGAGCAATTTTACTATACAGAGATGAGCACTGTTCAGTGCTGGTTATGATCATATGGAAAGGTAAATTTGGGAACATTTTGAGTTTCATATCATCAGCAGAGGGTAGCCTGATCTGTCAATTTAACATCACTCCCAATGTTATGACAATGTTAAAACCCAATGTTAAAACAGTTATGAAATCCAAACTGAGCAATAAACATACAGCTGCCCATCACAGGTCTAGATGCACTAATGTTGGATACAATGTCACTCGAAACTTGTCTACAGTTGCCTCTCAGACTGGTCATAATTAGTGTTACACCAAACAGCATATCTCTAAGAGGGGGAATTGTGTTCAGAGGATCGTGAGATTTCCAGTTTTACCTTGAATTTTAAAAGACAATGGCAAAATCACAACCTCTGCCTAGACAGCTTGTGCACCGTACTGCAATCTATTTGAGAAAGCTTCCCATTAATACTATTCATTTCCTTGTTGGAAATGGCTTTATGAATTGTCAAGTGGACAGGAAAACTTCAGAATATTGAATAAAAATAAACGGTTTTTAAAAGGAAGCAGTTGCTTGGAAGTTCAATTTTAACCCTACCTGGATATGAGCTTGTTTAGTCCTAGCTACTTCTTCTGCTCTATTCCTAAGTTCTTGGATTCGCAGGGGAAATAGAGCTATCAAATCCGTAATTAGCTGATGTATTCTTCTTATGTAAAACTCCTGAAAAGTTCAAAATCAATTCGTAAAACACTTTTTACTTATAAATAAAATAAAAGATAAATTTTATACCGGTTAGTAGCAACGTTGATTATATAGTTGGGAACAAGGAAAATCCGAACTCTCATGATAACAAAAAGGCTGAATGCAAATCATTCTAACTTTACCTATATTGATATCAGACTTCTGTCATAGTGCACATTGGCCAAACTTATGATGTTATGATTGTAGTTGGATTTTTCCTCCAATGGTAATAGTATTAATTATTGTGAGTAATGGGATTCATTTTGCCTGAAAAATAGATGAGAAGAAAAAAAGGCAACAAATTTTCAAAGGGCCTCAAGGCTCAGATGACAAAAGTTGAGCATAGTCATTGGTCCGAAGATCTTTCTTGTATTGAGACTTAACAGTAAAAAAATAGAAGTCCATTGAGACAAACAGGGAACTTACTTCTTTGAAAATATTATTGTTCAATAGAAGAGTGTTGTATAGAAAATCTAAGACTTTGCCATCAAGAGCAAGGGAGATTAGAGTGTCATCTTCATCGCAAATAGCTGAAACAAGTAGATGAAAAGGTTTGAGAAGAGAATATTGAATGAATCGATTATGAGATATATGAGATAAAATGCACATACATTTTCTACAATGATATCAATTCATTGAGTAGTTCCTTGAGAAAAATAGCTCGAGGTGATTCATCCTAGGCTCTTGGTGTTGTTGAACTGGCATGCCATATATTGCTCTGATTAAGTGAAAAATCTTAGTAGATTTTTACTTCCTAGGCATGGGCCTAAAGAATCATTCTCATCTAAAAAATTGAAACATTCAGATAATTGAAGGAAGGTAGACATGAAGCTTTCTGGGGAAAAAATATTGCATTCGATACAGAGGTCAATTACTGTATCAAATGCAACGTCCCAGAAGAATCCTGCTTTCATTTCTCTGAATTTTGCGAGGGCTCCTTCATAACGGATATTGCCCCCTTTTTTGTCAAAATGTTGAAATCTGCTGAGATCAATTACTTCATTGATGTGATGTATCCACGCCAGTTTGACCTTGCCAGGAACCCACGACTAATCAACTTAAAAAAATGGTGGACTTTAGGAAATGTTTGGAAGGTCTGAAACTCACTCCAGCGCTAACTGGTAACAATGAGTCTAATCTAGATGAGTACTGAAATTTCACAACTTTTTTCCCTTCAAATAGCTATCATCATATGACACAGCTCCTTAGATAAAAATAAACAACTAAAATATTTCTGCTTGTGAAACTTAAATTAGAAAGCAAAGAATTGAGGATGTTGGCTGGATGATGTGTGACAAGTTGTTTGTTTTTGTTTGCAACGTTACTGCATTTTCCCCTTCATGTTTAATACGGCTAAAATCTTCAGGTAACTTCTTCTTTGAAAAACTTCCTTTTGGAATATTAGTAAAATTACTACTCACAAGATGGTAGAGCAGATTGCGGAACTGATCTTAAAATGTTGAGCGAGATGCCTAGGGCAAGTCGGGCGAGCGCTAAAATCTCTGGAGAGTTCCAAGTTTGTCCAACACGAGTCAACTCGCGGATGACAGCAGGCAAGAAGTCCTCTTCGCTCAATAAAGGTAGTATGTTTACTAGTTCTGAAACAGATGATTAAAATAATTGGGTAAAACTTAATTGTGATGAGCTTTCATGTTAGATAAAGCATCCTTTTGTAGTATCCACGCTCGACACTGCTGTCTAGCGTGTATCCTGTGCTACTTCATTAAAATTCTATGTCAAAAACGGTGGAAATATAAAATTTCTGAAAATTCAACTTGCACATAAAAATTTAGCGTTTTTGGTTTATCAATTCAAGCTTACTGCTCACCAATAATAATCCAAAGTCTACTTGAGCTAGATCAGCCTCTAAATTAGTTCAATGTAATTAGAGGTGGAATAAAAGTTTCCTATACTAAATCAATGTAAAAATCTCATATTCATCAAGCACTATGATGACACTGTCACGTTTGCCGTTGGTGATGCAAATTTTACGTCAAATATAACCACTGAAATTCTGATCAATTACGGTACTTTTTCAAGATTTACCTTAAGTCAAAAAATTCGGAAAAAATTCACGCCCACCCTTCTGTCTTATAGATCACTGAAACGAATTACATTTTTTTTTGTTTTTTTGAAAGTTACTCAATTCCACTAAAACCAGCTAGTTCTGTTTCAAAAGAGTGAAATGTGAGAAAATTTGCAACCTCACTTGGACACAGGATTTTCACCAGAAAAACCTCATGAATTGCTTTCTGAAGTAGAAAAAAACAGACCTTCTGAATTATCTTTCCGTTGGAAAAGGCTCAAGTCAAGAGCGTATAACAGTGCAATGGTCAACGTTAATGAAACATCATCAATAGCACCATCTGCATCCGGTTGTATTCTATTATTCTGCAAGTGGGCCATCAAACTGAAAAAAGATAAAAATTAGCCTTAAAAAGATATGGTAACTTTGGCACTTGAATGAAATTGGAATTTTTTAATAAAAATAAATTTGAAAAACTTTCCATGAGCTGAGGTGCAGCTTCCAAACCTGACTAATGTGACCAACTTTAGTTAAATACACTACAGAAAAAAAAAAAATGATTTTTGTCGAACCTTTAACTCGAACCAATCATATTAAAAAATTACAATTCATCAGAAGATAAAAACTCCGAACCTATAATAAAACCTTGATATATGGAAAAAAACCCAGATCAATTTTTTCCCTGGACAGTCCAATTTTTTCGACTCTGATAAATTATTTTCAAAGCTCAAACTTAAGCGACTGAAAGTTCCTCTATTTGAAAATTGCACCTCATCAAAATGTTAAATCTGAGACCAAATTACAAAAAGTATAACAATTTCGAGTGTTCCTGAACAATTGATGGATGAATCAAAATTGAATGTAGTCATAATCAAAAGAGCTTAATACTTGCACATATTTCCTTCAGTTTTATTGCCAAAAGTTATGAAGAAGACAATGTAGTTATGAGTCACAACTTGTACTTATATGTACTTATATGGATGATCTTTTTTAGAGCCACATCATCTTTGCTTTAGGATAGACTGGCTACTGTTGTTCCAACACATTTTTATAAAAGCTGCAATGATATTGACATTTTTCAATTTGCGAAAAGAACTTGCAGAAATAAATTCTATTTTACTCGAGGTGAATCAAAAATTATTCACAGCTATACCTGGATAAAATATTTCTAGTACAGCAATGTTCAATTAGTGTCGGGAGGCTAAACAATTTTAAAAAATTATATTAAGCTTAAGTAGTATCGAAGACATTTTGCTTACATCATGGTTGTCTGCTTTGAGAGGCCAGACTGTGCAGAGTGAAGGTAAATTATGTTAGCGAGAGAACATTTAATTCCAGTGAAAATTTCAGTAACTTGATGACAGTGTTTAGGCCCATCCAGTGCTCGATTTGACTGCAGCAGAGATATTTCTCTGGCCAAATCCAGAGTGTCCAGTATTCCTGATGAAAAAAATAAAAGGGATTGAGATCAAAAGAATTAGATCTAACAAAAAACAATCTCAGGAGTTAAATTGGGTGTGTGACCGATACCTTACTACATTCGATAACAATTTCCATTGGGCAGTGTTTAAATGATGCAGCAATTTATGCTTAAAATTATTGGAAAAGATTCAGAGAATATTCTCCACCAGGAGAAACAAATCAGATAAAATTGCGAAAAAAATCTAGAGAACTTTGACTTACCAATGATGTTTTCTAAAAGACCATCTGCAACTAAGGAATCGGTGAATGCTGTTATAAATTCGGTGACTTGTGGCAAACTGTCAGTTGCCCAAAGCAAGCCAGCCCGAGCCTGGATCAGAGCTTGCAAAGCGCTTACTAGTGCTTTTCGGCCATCATAATACAGGAGAACAGCAACTAAGCCTCTCGTTAGACCTGGATGATTGGGCATTTGGCGTGAGGCTGAAAAAAGAAAGGATGATAGATTTGTCTCCAATTCTACTTCTACATGAACAACAGCGAGAATGAAATAAAGTATTTTTTTATTCACAAAAAGGTGGAGTTTCCTTTTTTGTTGGCTTGTTCTTTGCTTGAATAAAAATATTTAAAAATAATCAGACAATGAAATAGACCAAATGTTAAAAAGGCAAAAAGGACTTTCTTCATGGTGAAGTTTACAGAGGGAAAAAGTAGTTATACAGATATGCTCTTGTAAGTTGACTATTTTCACAAATTTTGCCAGTGGATAGACCCTCCTTGTAGTGATGCCATCATGGGAATTTTCCATTACTTAGATGTATCAAATTGGATCGAACCAAAGATGAGGACAATGATAGAACCTCTTTTAATGCTACCAATGAGAATGATCCAATACGTGCTACCTCCTGAGACACAATACTAGTAGCGTCTGTAAGACATTGAAAAGATTAAAGTGACTATAAAAATGTTTTCTTAAAAATTACATGTGCTACGCCCTTAAGATCTGAAGTTTCTTACCAGTGCAAAGCAAATCCAAAGCATAATATTCGTTGAGGTTATACATATCGGAGATGATGATTGCCTCATCGACGAGTTCCTGTGGCAATATCTCATGACCGATGCCAGGTAAAGTAATTCCTTCTGTGACACTTTTCAATAACTCTTCTCGATTCTTGGCATTTTTTGGCTGGAGGACAAAAAAAACAGTTTAGTTTTCATATTGAGAGCAAATATTCTATTGTATAAAGATATTAAATTACTTAAGTAACTAGGCATAATTTTTTGCAGAAGTAGTAAACACTTATGCTCAGCTGACTTTGCATAGGCATGAAAGTGAAATACATCAGTACTTCCATTCTTCAGACTTTTCTATCTGTTTAAATTATCATTAAATATGTATACAAAAATATATTAGTTACGAGATTTTGTCCCGACTCAGTTATTGACAGAAAAATTGAGTGCCAGAGGAGCTTAATTGCATTCGAATGTTTTAGAGTATCACCTGATAACTTATTTGTTTATTCACTGACCCTCTTTGGGCATATTGCAGCATTTGGGTCACAATTTTAGGTTTTCGCCTCGCTAGGGTTGAAGCCTTGAAAAATTAGGCCAGGGCTCTGAGTATTTTTCAATAGAGCATAAAGGGACGCGAATCACATGATTCAAAAATTTTCTTGTCCCTGGAATGACTGGAGATGAGGCCCAAAGTCCTGAAGTGTCAAAATCTGCAATCTGAATGCTACAGCTCAACCAGTTGAAAAGAGGTCTCCTTCTAAACTCCTTAACAATGATGTTTACAAATTGGACGTAGTTCTGCCAAACAGAACTAAGTATGTGCATTAAGACATGACCCGGAGACTCATAAGAATATATGCGTAATAGAGCTCACATCATAATGCACACAGTTCCATTGGCACAAATACATCCAATTGTAAATATGACTTGATGCTGATTTGGTCATACCATGTGTTTGCTAGAGGTGTCGTCAGATACGATGGCATTTTTTTACACTTCGTTTGCAAGCAACTGAGATGCAATTGTCCAATAGCAATCAAGGATTGAACGCGGTCCGATCGCAAGCATAGTCAATCCTCGATCGCTTTTGGACGATTGCATTATGGTTGCTTCAAGCGGAGTGTAAACAAATGCCAACTAGGTAATTTGATGACGCCTCTACCTAGTGCAGATGTCAACCGTAAATCGTCAAATGATAAAATATTCAGCATCAGTGCAATAGACTCACAAGTTAAAACTTACAGGATTTTTCAGAGGATTCAACAAATTTTGTTTGTTTTTGTTCAGTGACTCCCGCAGTAATTCAAACAAGTGGCTGCCAGACTTCAGTATCGCTCCCTCCACTAGACTTTGCAAGTCTTTGAAAGGAGTCCAAAGATCTTCCGAATCTGCAAAATAAAGTGTTGAAAATTTAAGAAATTTTTAACAAGTGATAGAAAGTTAACTTAATCAAGATATGTACATTGCATGATATTGAGACACAATAAAATAAATGGTGCCTGCCATAAAGGAATGAAAAGACACTTTGAGGAAATCAATACATATTTTGATCTTTTCAAGTCAAACTCTTGTCAAGGTATATTTAGTGAGCAAATCGAAGAGGTATTGAACAAATGATTATGTTGGGCATTCAACTGCACTACTCATTCAAACTCAAGAAAAATCTAATTTCCCATGACAGCTTTAACAGTCACATAGCATTTGGATCAAAGGAGGCTTGAACAAATTTCTGATCAATTCATTACATTATCCAAGGGAACTTGTCCAGATTAATAGAACTTTTCAGAGAATTCAGAGACCACTTGAACAGTAGTAGGAGCTTGTTCTCCTTAAAAGTTTGGCAGTAAAAACCATGTTAGATGAAAACGGTGCTGCGCTTGCTTGCGCTTAAGACCATTGCATGCATTCTGGCCACACCTTGAAAGCTGTGCGACTTACGAGTCATTGAATTTGGAGATAATTTAAAGTAATTTCATCATGAATTCCATTTAAGTCAGAATACCTAGTGAGTATTTGAAAAATTAATGAAAAGAGCGAAAAAGAGGTTCAGACATAACCTAACAAAATCGTCATGCCGGTGATGTGATAGCGGGCGGTACAGAGTAAAGAAAATGTCCTTACCTCGCATTATGATGCAAAATGAAAAATATTCACTGCGGAATTTTTACAACCGTGAAATTCACAAATAATTCTGGGAAATTAGAAAATTAAATACTGACAGACGATGATTGCTAAATTCGCGCCATGGTTGAAGAAACGGTAAGTAAACGGCATCTTTGAACAATACAATAGTTGTTTCTTTTGCCAATAGAGTTCGCCACTCTCGACTGATTGTATTTGTTTACTTTTTGCGAAATTTTTCTAAAAAGTAGTGATAAGACGCTGATAAGGTGTTAATAGTTGTTTTTTTTTACCTCATGGTGATCTAGAAATTTTTATTAAGTTAGAACAATTATCAAAGATGTCTAAAATTTTATCGAATCCATTCATATTTAGGTCAATACAGGTAATATTCATTTCTTCAATATCCTAAGAAAACATTAGAAACCTGAATGATTTTTCTTTTAAACCTGACTGCCCATTGCGATCAACAACAACCTTTTCTCTGTACATCATTTCAATCTTACTCATCTCATTATTTTGGTTTTCTTTGAAACTTTAAAATCCTATAAGACCCTCAACTGAAGGTCACTCAAATTTGGTAATACGATAATTTGCGCATCTAGTTCCAGAAGGACTGGTTCTTAGCGCCCTCATCCTTCATGTATTTGGTAACTTTCTCGATTAGCCAGAAAATTTCTGCTTCATAAACAGAATACTAATTGACTTTCTGAGTTGTCGAGCATGAAACCCTGATAGATGACCTTTATTGAAGGTAGAGGTGTTGTCAGCTAAGTTGGCACTCGTTTACATTCCGTTTGCTAGCAACCGTAATGCAGGTGTCTAATAGACATCAAGGATTGGCTTAGCTCACAATCACGCTGCGGTCAATCCTTGATTGCTATTGATCGATTGCATTGCAATCGCGTGTGAGCAGAATGTAAATAAGTGCCAACTCGGCTGACAACACCTCTATGATAATTTCTTGATTTTCTTTGTCATCCCCCTTGCATGCATTGAATTTATGCCAAATCGATAGCGTAAGTCCTCAATCACATATCTCGTTTGCGGTGTCTGAAAATCTCCGCCTCTGCGATATTTATTTGAAGGAGAACAAATTGACTCACTCCTGGAAGTGTTTGCTGAATTTTCTTCGCACAGAGAAGAGAAATCATGGCAGTTTTAAAGAATTGCCATTCAGTAGTTTTCTGTTTAAAAAATAAAGTATGACAGGAAGTCTACGACGTTGCAAACCGATTTATGTGATTGTTGTCTTACACCGCCAAAATGTTCAGGATAGCTAGTAATCGCAATAGATCTTCCCTTTCTTACTTTGCGTTATTATTAATGCAGTGAGTATTAAAGTTGATATTCACAGACAGTGATACCCAGATAAATATCTACGTCTTTTCATGATCAATTTTACCTCTGATTTCATTTATCTAGACTGTGAAACCTCATGTTCCACTCATCCGGTTCCGTAAGGGTGAGCCAGATAAGAGACAAATAGCATCTGCAGACAATAGTCATAGTGGTTCAGGCACCGGAAAGAAAACAGGGACTGTCAAACTACCAGTAGTAGAAGATCATCAACTTCCAGCAAGGTTCTGGAGAGCACCGATAGATGATAAAGAAATTGAAGCAATCAATGTAAGTTGCCTTGGTAGTACAGCCAATTTATTTAATTTTTTTTAGTAAAGATAAGTAGAAGAGAGTACAAAAGTTACCTAAAAAGTAAATTCTGGATTTTTTTCTCTTTACAAGCACTGAGGATAATTGCAAGCTCCAAGTCTGTGTCCCACAATCAAATGAACTCATCAAATGCAAAATGGCGGGTTCATCAACATTTGACGGCCCGCCGACTTTTAATAGCGGATTTGCGCAAAAACCAGTATGCATCTCTGCCATCTTACATTTGATGAGATCATTTGATCATGGAACACAGGCTTTAAGTGAAATAGTTTTTAAGCCATACTTTCAGCTCCTCTTTGAAGCTTCAATAGCACAGGAATTGGCTCATCAGTTTGAGGGGTCTGTCTCTACCGGCAGCCTCTCCTTTCAACTCAAGAAGTATTAGATACACGTAAAAAATAAAGGAAATAATGCAATGGTAAGTATTGCTAAAGATAAGTTTTTGAGAGCTTACAATTTCATCTTGCGCTCTTGTTCTACGCAAAAGTTTTGGACTAATCTGTGTTTGTTGTAGACCAAAAATATGAGAATTGAAATGAGTCCATTGAAAAACAAGCAAAAAGAATAAGATATGGCAAAAAGTAGGGAAGTATTGGAATATGTACAAAGACACACAATCTGAGTAGCATCGCAAGGTATCCCTTGAAATGAGGAATTCCTCAGATTTTCCGAAGACCATTCTATAATTATTAATACTATCTTGGATTCAATTTCTTTACCCCAGTTTGTTGTTATACAAGCAACTCTTATTCCATTTGTTGCCTTGCCTGAAATGACGCCTTCTTTATTCCTGCCTTTGTTTTCTGTTCCAGAGTGGTGGTGCTGTTTAGTTGAAAATATCATTATTAGAGAAAAAAGTTCTTAATGTACAAGTATTATTTATTACACTCAACTTGATTGCCATTTCAGTTAGATTTTTCCAATTGTTAAGGGGTTTCTCAGCCTCACTTTTACGTTGTTCTTTTCCACCGCTCAAACCTCAATTCATGAATGCACTCTCCCTTGGTTCAAGTACCTTAATTTTGTTCCAGTAATGCTAAATTAAATAAATGTTTTTCTGTTATTCTTCTGGTTCTATTTTTTCACTTGTACGCATGAATTGTTTGAGTTGGAGCACCCTGATCTATTGAGTGGAATGAATTCAATCCAATTAAATTGATTCAAGTCAATGAATATATGATTAACTAAATCTCAATTTGCTTCTAATTACTTAATGAGCCAGTCCTAATTTTTCAATTAAATCTGGGTTGCCACAGGTATTTCAGTAGACTAAGATGTTGGGATTTACAGGTAAACTATACTTTTTTTATGGGAAAATGTTATAATGAATGTTTCATCGGAATCTTGCCTATTCCAGAAAGTACTGGTAGAAAAAAATTTCTCTCCTTTGACAACCCAATCAACTTCATTGTAATGTGCTTACAGGATATAAATAACAAACAAATTTTAAGATAAAATAAATATTATATTTGTTTTGATTAAAAAAAAGTTATGCAAAAAAATTTCATTCATCAGGTTACAGCTGACTCAAAATTAGGAGGAGACGTGTACGAAAAGGGAAAAAAACAAGAAAACAAACAAGCACTTAAAAACTACGTTCAGGTCATTACAGGGATAATCTCCATGCAGGTTTACATATTCATAAATTTTCTATTTTCCTCAGAAGAGTATCACTTAAAATGAACAATAATTGATGAGAATGAATTCTTGAATTACGATCAACTTCAGTTCACTAAAAAACGGAATACACCGACACATTTTGCCTACATGTCTAGGGATACAGAATATGTTCCTGGTGGATAGGATCATGTTTCAAGATGCATTTTTATGTATTCATTTATTTCTGTGTTTCTGTATGCACGTGGCAACGTTTGAGTTTGCTTTCGTTACAGAGGAAAATATTCTTACCTTCTTCTCCCTCTGATAAGATAGCAGTGTTATCTTATCAACATCATACAATAAGATGAGAGATAATTATTTCTTTGTTGCTTAAAAAAAATTATCAAATCTTGGAACAAAATTCTTCAATGCCAAGGAAAAATAATTCTGAGAAATAAGAGTCTCCTGAACAGCAGTTTGAACTATCTTAGGTTCTTTGACATTTTGTTGGAGAGCTGCCAGCCATGGCAAAAAAGTTTGTGATACCAAGAATTCAAGCAAACAGATGTCGACTGTATTGAAGGTAAGCGGAGAATTGATACTCGATAACTTTCAAAGGGGAAACAAATCAATTCGACAAATACCTACTTTCTTCTTCTTGTAGAGACTCGTTAGTCCTTTTCAAAAAACGATAATTTAAAATTATTCATTCATTCATTCTTATGTACAAGTCGAATAATCAGGGTAAATTAGTAATATTCTCTCTTTACATTTTATGGTACATACATTTACATTTAAATGGTTCAACTTCTTGTCTTCTTCAGTGCATAAACTTAACAGATCATTTGAAAATGATAACTCATTATAATTACATGTTTGAACAATTTAAGTGTTTATGACTATAATCTAGTGCTTATTCCTACCTAAAATAAAATGAAGAAGATCATCATAAACTTTCACTGATGGTATGAAATGTGTCGGAGACGTTTTTCAGGAAATTAATTTTACAGTACAAATTTTACAATCATGTCACATTGCTCACAGATGTGACAGTTGCATAAATAGGAATCAAAAAGTTCCTCTAGAACTCAAAAAGAGTTTTCGATTGAGTTGAATTGGAATCAACCCATAAAGTTTTTAAGAGGTGACAGGCGTAAATGAAAGTTTTTTGATGATGAAAAAAAAATGTTAGATATTGTGAGGCCTTTCTCATATACATGTGAGCCTCCTGCTCATTAAGTGACATAAAAATATCTCTAAAGGCTACATTTTGCCTTCAGAAAAATAAAACAATGAACTTAACATGCTTAAAGACGCAAGTGCAAAAGAAACAAATGAAAAATAATCAGTTCAGTTACAAATTAACAAGAATATGACTATAAAAATATTTAACTAACACTGTAAATCTAATGTAGAACGATAAAGTCAAAATTAAATTTTAAAACAAGCTGCCTATTACGTCCATCAACTTTCATTTTTTGAACATGCTCGCAAAGCATACAATAGACTTAAAGGTTGCAGTTTTATAACACAGTGGAAACTGCTCAGTAGGAATCTTACGCTTGCTCAGTAATATGTGTATAAGTAAGTTTATGTAAAAGAAGTATGAAACTGGGAGGAAAATTATTTGTGCTGCAATTAAAAGGTACATGGTTTGGTTGATTTTCAGTTTATCTTGTATTGAAAAGGAATTAAAAAGTTGGGAGAGTATTCACATAAAACTTAACGGGACAAAATTTGCCTCCTAATGAGATCTAATCAGTCTGGCAATTGCAATTTGGTTAAGAGCAATGCAATTGGATCTACTTTAAACAAAAAGGGAAAGAAATAGTTACAGCAGCACTTAACAGTCTTTGGGAAAGTTTACAGAAAGGGGAAAAGTATAAAGTATTTGTAAAAATTATCTTGTAAATATGATTGGCAGGTAACTTCAATCATCTATAGTTGCATTAATTTTCGAGAAGAACAAAAAATGAAGCTAATTTATTAATTAAAATCTTTGAAAAAAGAAACCCGGAGTTAAAGGACCCTATACAAATACCCATGATGTCCTAACTACACATTTCAACTTTGAATAGATAGACAACGGGATCTGATGTGGTAAAAAAAAAGGGGAAAAGTGAAGACAATGAAGTGCCTTTTTATAGACTTGCTTTTCGATGGATTGTTTGTCACATGACAAAATCCTGGCTTTTAATTAGTAGAAAAGCATGCACAATTCAATGAAGATTCCTTGATTTTTTAAAATTTGTGACATTTACTGGTTTTCTCCAACAGTGGCATCTGCTACTAGTATCCTACTGAAACTTTTGACATGGAATTTAATTATAAAACCTTAATACCTGCACCTTAACATTAAACTAATTTATTGATATGTTAAACAAACAAGGTGCTCTCTTTGCGCAAAAATTTGATCTCATTAAGTAAGTATCACACTTTCCTTAAACTGCTACAAACCGGAGAATCAGGTTAAACCACTTGATGCATTCATAAATAAAAATAAAAGCCTTTGATGAAAAAGTTGGTGAAATTCTTGATCAATATATTCTTCACAATCAAGGAGCAAGGTCAGATGGTTGCCTTGACAGCACACCTGACTTCGTTTTCAGAGAGGTCAAGGTATTTAGAAAATTAGAAGAGAGCTCCGTTATTTGATGATTATAGGTGAAACCAAATAAATTTGCTAACTTATAGAGTACTGCCAAAGGTTCAGTTTTTGCAGTTAGTTTCAAAGCGAAAATGATGACATCAGATTCTCCATTGCAATTTGAAAACTTATTTGATATAAACTCTATTTAATAATTATATCATTTTTCGCTCCTTGAGAATTATCTCTTAGGACTAACTGAAAGAATATGCTACTTCAATTTCATATGAAGTGCCTTACATCACTTTATTTGGTCTTCAAGAGATCATTTCAAGAGAACACAAAGGACATAGTCTTTGAGAAAAACTTAAGTACGTAACAATAATTAAAAATCTGATCTACTTAATGAGATACTAGAACAATTGAGTTCAAATTTTATGTGAACATAATTCATCATTGATAAACTTAACTAACAGATAAAGACAAAGAGAGAGAAAGGGAGGGGGGGGGAAACCACTGAGGACTGCGAAAAGTCCATAAATGCAATTGTTTCTGAGGAATCTTTCAATTTCACATAAATGCCCCTAAAAATTTAGATTTCTCAAGTATAATTGATCAAAAGGTTGGTAAGTTGTAGGACCAGACTTAAAGTATTTTTTTTTCTTTCTTTTCAATTTTCTATCACTTTATTCTCTTATTTCTACTTCCACCTTAGTTTAGAAGAACTGTGACAAGAAAAATCGTTTGACAAAGGAGCTGAATAAAATTCGATAGACTTTAATAATCCAACCTGAATGCAAGTTATATTTTCAAGCATTCAACTGATTTGCCTTTTTTTTTGGTCTTTTCAAGTTACAGACAACATTTAAAACCTAATTAATAGTGTACTCCGAAGTTTCCATATTATAATTTAAAAGGACTGGCAAAATCACTCTTTCTCCGATGTGACTGATAAATTCCTTCCTTTCCCATTTCAAAGAGACTTCTTCAACCTCAATGATGAATTCGTGATAACAGAAAAAATAAAAAAATTCCCTTTTTCTATTGGGAGCCATTATAGTTTTGTTTTGCTTGGAGGCACTCAATATATTCGCAGCAATGCTCAAAAACCGAATACTCACTATACAATACAAATTATCACGGACTGCGAATGAGAGACAAACTTTTAAAATCTATAAATGCAAGATACATTTTGACACTTTCGACTGAGACAACTAGGAAACGCACTTCGATAAAATATCTTGTGACTAACAGAGCAGATCTGAATAATTACAGGAAATACATCTCACAATAATTTCTATTCCAGCAGTACAGTACATCAAGCGAGGTTTTTGGCTGAAATTTGAGAACTGGTGAACCGCACATCCAAAACTACAAAATACCGGTATATTTGAGATAAAGTAGGCCGACTGTTAGTACAAAATTTATGGATCATCATACAACCTCACCAAGGTGCTGAGAACAGTTAAAAACTCATGGAAAAAACTGAGAATGCAAACAAAATTCTCGAAAAATGCACTGCTCATCCTGATGAATATTTGTAGTTTGGGAGAGATTGAAAAATTAAAATTTTGGCAAGGAATTACTGTACAAAAAAAATAGAGAAATCAGAAACATAGGAGGTGGATAACTTTTAAAAAATTAGAAAACATAAAATGTCTTTTTCTAACTGGATAAAGGCGTATGAAATAACACTAATATCCAAACACTTAAATAATTGTTAATAATCACAAAAATCTCTTTAATTCTCAAGAGAAGGAAAGATGATTACCTTTGGAATAGAAAGTTATGACTTCTTAACAAAGCTAATGAGACTATCTTATTTGCTTTCACGGCCAAAGACTTCTCACTTGGTCCATAATGCTTTCTTTTCAGTTCAAGAGAACAGAAATACAACAAAAAGTTCATATCAATAAATAACAACAAATAAGTTCCATAATTAAATTTTGAGTAAGTGGCATAGGAACTTCCAAAGCCAAAAGAAATCACCAGATACATCCCTGCTTCAAAATAAAATGCATTCTTGAGATCTTGAAACTTCTGCCTAGTTAGTGTAAAAATTAGGCACATCTTACTGACCTAATAGTTTTATACCATTTGCAACGTTTACAAACTTACGTCCCAGCAGCAGTCTGAAAACTTTTTGTGGCAAGGAGTCACGAGATACACACATTACCTGTATTATGGGGGTGTTGGAGACCTGATTGGAGGAGAAAGACTCGACGATAATGAACTTACTGCCTTCCTTTTCTTTTTTTGGCTTCAGTTAAAAAATCCTCCAGTGGACATGAGATGTTATCTTTGATGCCATTGAGTTATGAAGGCTTACTTACAGACTAGGAGGTCTTCACTAATCTTTATAGGATTCCCAGGCTGAGTTTCCTGTAAGTGCGATGAACCATGTAATTTTTCCTCCACTGAAATAATGTAATTATTGTGGCCAGAGACATCAGGAATACCAAAGCTGGAAAAATAAGGGATGAAACATTTAAAGAACAGCCAATACAATGAAAACAGAAAGGTGAAGAAAAATTAAATAACCACCTCAGATGACACAATAAAATTTACACAAACTGATTGCAGTGGATGCATGGGTCATAAGACAGTTTATTGGAGTTTTTGTTGTGTAAAACTGCCTTGCCAAGATTTATGCGGAGCTGTTTGGATAATCGCTCACTAGATGGCGCAAATCTACTTGCCGCCAGCGTCCGCTTGCCTAAGACTCGGGCTGGTTTTCACGACCTCTCAAGCTTGGTAGCAGAAAATTCAGGAGGCTGCACTGCACTGAGGATTGGCTCAACAAGGCCGAAAAGCGTTTGCAGTTGCCTTCCTGAATGGACGTAACTAGTGTTGCACCAAATAGCATATCTCTTTGAGGGAAAACTGTGCTCATACAAGCTTTTTCTCTCTGTATTGAGATTTTCAGCTTCATGCTGAATTTTCAACGCATGTTGGCTAAAAACTCCAACAAACTAACATAATTAAATGTGTCTGCAACAGGGCTGTGAAAATTGAGAATTTTGGGTATGAGTAAATAGCCCAATTATTCTTTTCTTCAGAATATGAATCAGTAAAATTTAAAACCAATCGAATGATATGGAACAAGGGTGCAACTGTAGAAATGTTAATGTTGTTTGCAGAGTTTTGAAATATCCGCTCCTGATTCATTTTGTCCAGAGAGAACAAGATAGCGCTACTGCTAAAATTTTTCACAGAATATTTTTTACACAGAAAAGAGAAATTGGAAAAGTTTTCAAGAAACAGCGTTTAGTATTTTTCAATTTAGAAAATGAAATAAGACAGAAGGTCTGCAACGTCATGAACTGAGATAAAGGTTCCTGCAGTTTCACAGTCGAAATAAGTTTAATATTATTGAAAATTGTTCAAGAATGACTTTTGATATAGTACAGTTTTGGGAGTTTAAGAGACCATAGAAGGTAAAAGGTTATTACTTGGAAACTTTTTAAAAAAAACTTTGAAACTCACTTGCAAATTAAAAACTTTGTTATAAAATTAGATGCGTTTTGCAGAGTTTTGGCTGAAGATCTGGAGTAGACCTGCGGGGCGATTATTGAAATTTCTTGTTTGTCGGGACGACATAGATGACATAGGTTAAAAGGCGGAGCGTGATTGGTCGGCTATGTCTTATCGCTGCTTTATCGTGCCTTTGTCAGGTGGAATGATCGACATACTGTCGGAAACTTAAGTGGTGCCGTTAGCTTGTCGATCATTCCACCTGACAAAGGCACGACAAAGCAGCGATAAGACATAGCCGACCAATCACGCTCCGCCTTTTAACCTATGTCATCTATGTCGTCCCGACAAACAAGAAATTTCAATAATCGCCCCGCTGTACAAGAAGCATCCAATCTCCTATCAAAGTTTTAAAAATGCAAGTGAGTTGAAAGGCTTTTAAAAGTTCCAAGTTTGATACCTTACGTTCCACTGCCCAAAATTAAGGTGACTGCCTTAACTGAAGAGTTGCTGAGTTTTTAATATTGATAAAGAGACTGATAGGTGTAATAATTTCAACTTACTGGCAACTATGTAAATGTTGTGCATGACGAGACTAGATATGTTGTAGGAGCTTTCACACTCGCTCTGCCAATCATCAGGAACCACAGGTTTTGTAAGCAAGATGAACTGATCGAGAGGACAGTAGAATAGACATCCTGGAAGTACTAACTCATATGGTGGCTGATCAGTTGTGTTTCGATAGTACAGCTGCAATAAAAAAACTTGTATGAGAGGCAAATACAATCTTTTGGTCATAACAGCGTTTGTTATTTCAGATATTAATTAAATGCACAGGGTCAGTTAAACAAGTTAAACAATGGGCCTAGGTTTAAAGCAAAAAGCAGAACTTACAGTTAAAAAGAGAAAGAAAAGTGTAAAAATATTTAACAGTTTTTCCAACTGTATTTAAACATTTATTTTTCCTGGGCAACGATATCTATGAGATGGCTTCTTGTCTTAGAATTTTCATCAGAGCATGCTAACAGAAAAATCAGAGAAAATGATGCACTGACTCTTTAACAAATATTTTGAGCAGAAAAAAACGCTGTCAAAACCCATGCTACAGGCTTCTCATGGTCCATGGTGTGGAGCTTATGGTGATCAAAACTTTTTCGCCTGAGATTGATTGGCAATGTATTAGCAATCTGTTTAAAGATCAAAATCTGGTTTAAACAATTTTTTTTCCAAATTACTTCACAAAGCTAATAATTAGCCATTATTAAGTCAAGATACCACTACATGAGCGTCTTAACAATCATTATTCCACAAAAAATAGAGCTACATAATCCCAGACATTAACTTTTGCCTTACTCGTTTACATTGCTTGCATAGTTAGCGCAAACCTCTGTACAAATATTTCCCCCTCACTTTATGAAACTAATGACTTTCTGAATTACAAAGTGATTGTGTACTCTGTTGATACGAAGAAATCAGTTGTTGAACTGACACTCGTTTTGCAGTCATTTGGTCTCAAAGTCAATGTTAAATCAATCTGGGCAGTAATCAAGTGACCTTTATGATTTTGAGAACTACACATTTTAATGACTTGGGTTGCATGAGCAGACAGTTTTGGTGAAGAGACGATCTCTAAAAATTATAGTGAACCAATAGGTAGAGTTTAAAATATATCGATTACGCGAGGTGATGACAGTTACTCTTCATGATGTTTACTACATAACAGAGACTTTAAAGTTGAAACTCGGCATTAATAATAATAGTTTCACAATAATGACAGTTTCTTCCGATAACTTTATAGTCTTAGGAACTAAACTCTCATTTAGGTGGTTTGCTTCACCTACAGAACACTGATTAAGGAAAAATAACATGTGAACATAGTTCCAAAAAAAGTTGAAAATGTACAGAGAGACGAAAGAGAAGCTTCAAGTCTGAAGTATGATGAGATGATGCTAACTTACAGAAACAAAATGTTCATTAGCTGAGTTCTTTCTCAATTCAAAAATGATGGCAGCTGTGTAAGGAGGAGGTGCTGAATTGTAGAGATTAAGAGCCATTAAAACAGCAGCTACGGTAGTGTCATGGGCTGAGTAGATCCAAAGCTTTCGATCAGGCGTCAGTTTCCCTCTGCTTTTCTTTTCAAGGTGTTTTGTTATTTGACCAATTAGAGGCCCTTGAAAAAAAAAAATTCATAAGCTTAAGGGTTGGAAAAAACGTGAATGTGTGGGGAAGATAACCCATAATTACAGTGCTTGTCTTTTAAAGTTGAAATTACTTAATTTGTGATTAGAAATTGTGCCTGCTTATCAAAGAAAATATTAGATAAGTACATAGAACACTTTTAAGGTATGTTTTTTGGACAAAAATTTAAAGAAATCAATAATTTATGGTTCTGAAGAAGAATTGAACCAAGATAACAAGTTTCTTTTGATGAAATGACCCATTTTGAAATAAATTCGCTCATTTGACAAAAATCTTATCTGGCGATTTTACATATAAAAGGAAGGTAAAAAATATAGTGTTAGATAGATATAGATAGATGTTAAGTGCAGCTTACTTCATGTACTTTTAGCTGCTAAATCCCAAAATTATTAAATTTTTCAACTAAACGATTTTTGGATAAATCTGATTTTGCAAAAAGAGTAGTGTGAACTTAAAAAATGTTAAGTCGTTTTTGAAACCAGGCAGCTTAAAGTATATAGAACATGTCTCATCAAACACCTGTTACAATTTATTCTCCTTTCTTTACATGCATCAAATTATCAGATAAGTTTTACCCACATGATGCAAAACGGGGGCTTACTTGAAAATGGATCCTTCAACCAAAAAAACACTCTGCTATTAGTAGGAGCAATCTGCATTCTTGGGCATTCTATGGAGCTTTATTTTTGTATTTTTTGTTGCAGAATTGAATACTTAACTAGGTTTTTCACGCAATGCACTAGTTTTTTTGGAAACTCCAATTTTTCCAAGGGAGGCTCGTTTTCTTNGGGGGGGGGGGGGGAACTCTAATTTTTTGGAAAGATCTGATGTGTTGGAATTTTTTGGACATTTTATTGGAGCTCAGCTCTAAAAAATATATGGGGGAGTTCTAATAAGTTACCACTCACATTGTGTGAAACATGACCAAAAATTTGCAAGACTGCATTATTTGGTTGAAAAAAGTTGCTAAAAAATTGAAAAATAATTGTTTAACATACATGGAACTACAAACAAAATTAGGGAGGATTTTATACCTGCTTTGAGGCGTCTCATTTCCTGAGATAGACTTGGTAACATGAATGCAATGGAACTGACAGTTTTCATGGGTTCTGGAAAAACGGCTGCTGTCCAGTCAGGAAGCCCAAAACCATAAAGACTCTGCCAAGAGAAAATGAAAGGCAAAAATAGACACACTTATGACTGGAATAGATGACAAAAGATTTTAATTTCATCTGAGAGGAGCTCATGTAAGTTTATAGAGAAGTGTTAAACATGATTTATCCATTAAAAAACATTGGTTAGAACTTTATTCCACTATCAAAACTTAAGTAATGAAAAATTTGTTTTTTTTTTCTTTCCAGAGGATTTGATAAGTACATATCTTACGGACTTAAAATATTAAAGTGAAAAAAATATCCTTGTAACACTGATTAATTTCACAAAAAAAAAAAAAAAAAGAACACATACCTCAATAAAAAGAACATCATAAACATCTAATATTCCGAGGACTCCATCAATTTTTTTTCCCGAGTGAAGGGTAACGTACTGATACAACTGCTTATACTTTTCGTTTACTGCTTTCATTATGGATGATGATTTTGCCTTTTTCAATTCATAATCATAGCGTTCACAGGGTTTTTTCTGACTTAAAATCTGCAAAACATGGAGAAAGAAAAGGTCTGATTTATGAGGGAGGAAATAAAATCGAGACAACTCAATTGTTTAGCCGGTTTATGTGTAATCAATTGTAAAGTAAGCCAATTGACAGATAACCATTTGTTTTTCACCTGGACTCATTTTTTAAGTAAGCCAATCGACAGATAACCATTTGATTTTCACCTGGGCTCATTTTTTAAGACCAGAGCAATGTGAATCCTCAGATTTATTGGCTTCAGTTTCTTGCTATCAGGGTCGCAGAAACTTCTCAGCCATGCAGAGGGGGATCTTCTGCAAGAACAGGAAAATAAATGGGGGAACTTTTTTGAAAATGGGACAAAACAGTGGAACCTGGGGCAAAATACAGCGTTTCAGCAATGAGAGAGTCCAATTTTTTGGGTAAAAGGTTTTTTTTTAAGTCTATAGGGGAAAGGGATCATAAAATTTGCTAAAAAAATGAGGAGAAGGTTGATTGAATTTGGGTGAAAGCTTGGGATGAGACCTTCTAAGTATACCCCTGCTAATGATCAGTTTCAAACTTTTCACTTCAACATCTGTTCCTCAAAGTTAAATCTAACTCTTGTTTACTTATTTCACTAACTGTATTATATAAGATTCCTTCCTTTTTCATTTTCTACAGTCAAGGTTCCAGGTTTTTTACGTTTGTCTAGACAACCTTTACACTAACTACTTAGCCTCTCAAAGAGAATTTTGCAGCCTTGAGACTTAGAGAAAAGATTAAGGGAAAGTTTTTCAAAAAGCAAACAGTTGTTGTGACCTAAGGTGCCAGCTTGTTACTTTTTTATTTGAAAAAACTTAATCTTGAGATCCTTGTGGAAGGGCTTTTGTGAAAGTCTCTCCCTTTTTTAGGCAACTCAACATGATATTAAAGCTATACAAATACAATATAAATTGATAAAAATAGGTACAATTAGGACAGAGAAAAAATTATATGGATTAATGAGAGTCTACCAGTTCAAAATCAGCGCAGTTAAATGGAGTGATTTCATGGAAATGATGATAAAAAAAATGCTGGTCTGATAAGAATAATTGCAGAAAATTTATCGACAAAGTAGACTGATTTTTTCTCTCTCTGGTTTCAGGTAACCTTGATCTTTCAAGTTTCCAAAAATACATTTTTATTCTCTGATAAGAATGATACGATACTAGACTGTGAGGAGACAAGAAACAAATATGAGGAGTATTTCAAAACACCTCTACTATCTTGTACAGATGTGGCTGTAAGCTGATACTCTACATATATATGTACTTACTAATTGTCAACCATTGATCAACTACAGTTGAAGCTGTTGCTTGCATCTATCCTCAACTCAGAATGTATTTGACGAATGTGGATACTGGAGAAAGAAGCAATAAAGGATGTTTTGTCAAAACTAGAATCTAATAAAGAAAAGTTGGAGAAGTGAAAAATGTATGGAAGAGCTCTTAAGCTATTAATACTTACATAATCCATTGACTCCGGTACAGTGTGAATTGGGATTGGCTGCCAGGAAAGATTTTGGTTCCATATCTGTGAAGAAACAGGAGGGTACAGCCCTGCAAGATGACTTTCCACACTCATCAATGTTCTATCAACATCAGTGCTTTGCACATAGATGTCAGATCGATGGTACTGCTCAGGGAGGAGTTTGCTGTATCGATCCCGCATCCAGCGACCAAACTCATAGTGCTGCATTTTACCTTTCTGCAAAAAAATATAGGACAATCGTAGACAAGAGAAGAAGGGCAACACAAAAATTATTATACCTGGAAAATGTCAATTACTAAAAAAATTATAATAAAGGTCTTGCATTAAATTCAATTTTTCTACTTTAAATGAATTGCCTCAGTTCCTTGACAATGTCAACATACTAAATTTGGGAGCCAAAAATGATCATTAAGCTTGAAGGGGGAAGAGAAATTAAAATTTATAAAAGGGTGAGACTGCATTTTGGTGCATTTGGTGTTTTTATTTTTTAAAAAAAAGAACACAAAGAAAAAAAAAAATCCTAAATAAAATAATGACTTGATTTTTTTTTGATTTTTTTTTTTTTTACAAAAATGAAATAAATAAATAAATCAAATTTAAGGAAATATTTAAACATTTCCTGAAACAAAACTGAAATATTCTTCTTCCTTTAAAAAGGAGATTGACCAATGAAACGTTGAGATATCAATATAATAGGGAAAATATCTAAAAATAATTTGATATGGTATGAAAGATGATAACACAGGGTTCCCATTCCCATGAAATCACAATATTCGGCTTTTTACAAATAGGTTAAGGATTCAATTTTTTTTTATTATCTTAAGAAAACGAGATAAGAGAACATCATAGCACTGCATGACGCACTTAGAGGGGAAAGGGCATCTCCTTCATTACAATGTTATAGGACAGGGGGGAGAGGCTAAAGCTCAGTGTCATGTGATGAAATTATTTGAAAGATACCATATTTTCAAATGAAAAAACAATTTAGATCAATGATTAAAAAAGGAAGGTAAGTACCTACACGTAAATTTAAAGAGGTGGGTGTGACATGCAAGGCACTATTTCCAAGTTTCAAGGAAAAGCTGCATAATAATACACATTTATTGGCTCTATCACTTTAGGACTTATCACCGAACAGGGAGACATCCTATATCTTACTTTCAACGCCCAGAGCTTCTGCTCGGCTTGAGTTTTTTTTAGAAATGACGATTGTCCTGATTTTACTCCTACCTATTTGTTTTATCCAAAGATTTCCTTTCATTAGGGTTTAATGCATGGGTCAAAAAGGCAACTTACATTTGTTAACTGACCCCATCCCATGGGCCAGTATGAGGCATTGCTGTAGGGATCATTTTTGTATGTTTCAATCGGCGATCGATCTCCGTGCCGGAAAATCTGTGGAAAAATCAAAATAAGATTTACTTGAAGTCCGTGTTTTATTTGACTTGGGATGAAACAAAAAAAAAAAGCAAAAGAACAGAATAAAGTTTCTGAAATTACGTTAACAAGTTTACTGTCTTACTTAACTGCTTGACTAAGTACGACATCAACAGCCTGCACAAAAAATACAATGAACACTGCCCTTTGGCCCTGCCTGAGGTTCCAAGGGAACACATTTTTTTTGGGGGCTCTTTACAGCCCGGGTAGAGCCCAGTTAAATTGCCATTATTACAAATCCATGCTCAAGGCTTCCAAATATTCAGGGATTAAAGCCAAGTGAAATCTGCAATTTATTTACTTGTTTCTTCCTAATGACTGGTTTGGGCTGAGCTGCTTCGAGTCAAACAACCATTTGATAGGTTAGAAGATGATAACGATAGGCAAATCGCTGAGGTACGCAACAGACCTATTGCGGAGTATGCAATGTTCAATTCGTGTACAAAACCCGATACAAGAGAGTCACTGTCTCCTATCTGTAGAGTCTGGCAATGTGAAGATGGTGGCATCAATTTATGATTTCTTTCCTCCCTAAGTAAGATAAATAATCAGCAAGGCTATAAAATATTGCCTTGAAAAAAATATTTCCTAGTAAAAGAAAAATTCTTAATAAAAGAGTAGGTATTTTCTCAAAGGTGTTACACTAGTTGCGTATCCTCACTTTCTGCCAAAATGGCACGACCATACATTAAAAAGGAGACAGTGGCAAATGCTTGCACGATGACTTGCACAAGAGGATCAGTGACTGCGATGGCCAAAGGCATCTTACCATGTCCACCGAAAAAATGATGAATTTCATTTATGAGAATTCACCACAGCGAATGATTTATGCATGTAAGCAATTGCACGAGCAACAGTTCACATACATTTTACACCCAATTAGTTTGTAAAAACCTGGAAAATATAAGCAAGTATGTAGTACTTACAACATTGACGAAGACAACTTCATTAGGATCATCTCTGGTTGATTTACAGGAGTAAGGCTGGATTAATGAAGTGAGCGTTGCAACGACGTAAAAAAATTGATTGTGTGAGAACATTATGGAAGTATACAAAAATTTGGAAAAGTTCTATCGTGTGTGGAAATGACTGATAAACAATTGACTACGAACACATGGTAGAAAACAGAAGCTATCTATCTGGTTTCAATGGACGAGATCAGGGAGACGTAGAAAATCAATTAATTTAGACGGATGGAATTTTGCCGAAAAAAGAGTTAATGATAATGCAAATTGGATAACATGTATAGGTTGAAAATTACTTTGAGAGTGCTGAAAAAAGGCAGCGATAAGAGTTATCTGTTATCTATCCCGAGCTTCAGCATTCCCATTTTCCACAGACACGGCCACACGGCCCACACGGGTTTACCTTACCACGACCACAGCCACAAATCATGTAACATTGTTGCACAATCAGTAAAAAAGAGTATTTATGTTGTGTAAAAAGCTTCATAAAATATGCAAATTTTATCTAAATAGGCAACCTTCAATTAAATTAATTATAAAAAAAACAAAGTTTATAATGACGTCACACGTGCATCGACGTCATAATTCTGCTTTGTTTACAAAACAAGCTTTATAACCTAAAAGTTTCAAAGATTCGTTTGCTCCAAGTTCACTCAAGTTCGCTTTTTTATTAATTTTTATCACCAAGGAGAGAGGAAATTTTTTAAAAAAATCAACTTTAGCCAAAGCAGATCAAGGAAGTGTAGAACTTCATCTAACATTAGCTTAACGATTGTGCTGTTTCTTTTTCTGTTGGATGGGGTGAGATTTTTCTCTGCGGTAGCAGCTTTGTCGCTTCGCTCTTGGTCATGATGAAGATCTTGGACCTACAGAGATCAGTCATCGAATGTTTCTCACCGCTTTCAGTCTTCCCCTTAGTCTCTAGGTTTGTCTACATTATAATTTTCTGAACTTACAATTTCATTAAATCATGGAACCTTGATTTTGTGCAATATGCTAACGTTAGACGTAAGAAGTTCAATAGCTGTTTTGTTAAGGCAAACTTCCATAATAATGATTTGCCCTTCAGTTTACTCAATGCAATTCAAGGACCTATCAATTTCTGGAGATTGTTGAGCATACCGAATAAAGGTGTTGGGCATTTCTAGGTAAATATGAACATCATCAGGTAATTCAAACGGAGTACAACAGTGCAGACTGTTTGGAATCGGGTTGTCGTGTTCCCAAAGAATCCGGAACAGCGTAGTTCTCCAACACACCCAATCCGCTCAGATGTTTCAAAAAAGTTTGCTAATAGGCTAAGCATAACTTTAAGAAGAAAATGTATCATTCAAGCATACCATGTATTACATTTTTCTCAGAAGGTTACAAGGACACTTATCAATCAACAATTCTTGTCACATAGCAGTGGGCCGTGAACCAATGAAGGCATGCCTTGGCAGTGAACCAATAGAGTCTGTGCTAAATGGACGTATTTTTGTCAAACGGAACTAAGCGCCAATTTGAGTTCCTTTTGAGGAATTTAGAATGCCGGATAGCGCATTCTGTCAAACGGAACTAAGTGCCATGGAAAGGCATTGCAAGTATAGGACGAAAGGAGCCCAACACCCAGTTCCGCCGCCAATCCAAGCCCCCCTCTACCTTCCTCCCCCTATGGCGCTTAGTTCCGTTTGATAGAAATACGTCCAAATGATTCAACCAATTTTTAGCAGGATATCAAAGGTTCTTGTATTCAGCGAGTGGATTGTCGAAATTATTGAAATGACATGTTTGTCTGGTAGACGAGACAAAACTCCGACAAAATGGAGCCATGTAATTAAATGGCTTCATCCATGAGATGATTGGAACCGGAGGGCCCTTAGTCAGGTTGAATTATCGACTAGCAAAGGGCACCTCCTTGCTGGCCAGCAGCTAGTCAATTATACCACCCGACGAAGAGCCCGAATCAATATCAATAGAAATGACCAAAAGAGGTTTTAAAGTGGACCCGATCAGCTAAGTTTTACAATCTGAAGTGAGCAGAGAATGAGAGACTTGCAAATTAAAAAATGAAGCCTGCAAGTTTTTTGATAAAACAGAAGTAATTCACCCTCGTTTTTTCTCTTTATTCTATTTCCACAGTTAGAAGAACATGAGTGCCAACAAAATGGTGGGCACTGGTCTGGAGGAGATCGGTGTGCCCGGGCAAGCATACTTGCGGGAGGCTCTTACGAGTTGTACAGATCCGCTCAAAGCTATCGAAGAATTTCAGGTATTAATTTCTTTTAAATCAAGCATTCAGTGTAAAATTGAGAAAATAAATATAAAGAAACCCCTAAGAAGTCTGGTACAACAACAATGACACTGTGATGGATGATGTATCAGAATTGCTGGGTTCAATAACTGTTTCTGGCTGCACAAATTGCCATGAACATGTTCGAATTTTTGCTGAAGGAACCTACTTTAGACTTTTGCCTAAATCTCACTCTTAAACCAGCAACTCTACTTGTGAATATAACACAAATGACCGAGAATAGCTTTTATTTCCTATTTGTATTTCTGACTATTTCAAAAATTGTGCTTTTTAGTTGCATGTACCATTGTCTACTTCCTTTCTAGAATTCCACCATTTCAGAAATTTTTATTCTTGCCATGTTTGTTTTCAGCTTGAAAATGGTATTTTGCTGCCCTCTCTACGACAGATGTTACCCTTATTAGACTTACATGGTGTTCGGAGATTAGATTTTCATACATCTGTTCTGGAGGTAATTTCATAAAAAAATTTCCAACTCACCCCAAAATGCCCCCTTTCCTCATTTTTATGCTAGATCAATTCACAAGAAGATAAGAGGACTTATCCAGGTTTTAGTTGAGCTCCTAAAATTGTATTATCATAATAAGGGTATTTTCCAAAAATTAATAAAAAAAAATTGTGTAACAGCCCCATTGCTGGTAGAGTCTACATATTTCTGAAAAGTTTTTCTTTTCCGTGGCTTTGCTTTTTTCCCCTCCTTAGAGACTAGGAAGACAGAGGACTAGGAGGCCCAGTCAAAATTATACTCCCTGCTTTCAAATATTTTCAATATTTTACGAAATAAGTAGTGACCATCCACAGGATAAGGGACCTAAGTCCACAGACAAAAAAAAGGAACTACATTTTTTTGTAGAATTATGGGCAGTAAAACATGATTATGAGACAATGATGGAAAATATTTTAATGTCCTTAGAATAAACTACAGTTGGCTTAGTTAATGTGTGTACCAATAAAGAGGGTGTAAAGTTATTGAAAATGTTGTGCTCTGAGTATGACAGATTTAAATGTTCAATAGCGTTTTCTAGAAACTGGGTGTTTTTATACTATTCTCTACAAAACAGTTCAACTTGATTTTTTCAAACATTTTTTTGCCGAAATGTTAGTAGAACACTCCTCTTTACTTCAGTATCTATATCTCAGGTTGTTCGATCATGTTTGAGTTTTTGGGTACTAATATTCCTTTTCCTGTAGGTAGTCACAAATAATGAATTGATTTATGTTGTTTTTTGTTTAATATCTCAAAGCCTTTTTAAGTATGCCAATGGGTTTTGTTCTCAACTGATGTTTTTGTCTATCCATGCTAATTATCAGGATGTTTGATCAATGATCATTTTTCAAAATTTATGTTTCCCTTCGAAAATTATATCTTCATTGGATTTGTTGCAGGAATTAAGAGATAAATTAGTTAGTCACATTAATGAAGTGGGTCAAACTGAAGGCCGTGAAAGGGACAAGAAACTGAAAGAACTTCTCATCAAAAGTTTTCCACTAGTTAAAGTAAAAGCCTTGCGCCCTGTTGTCATGGCAATTCTTAGAAATACCAATCACATTGATGATAAATATCTACGAGTATTGGTAAGTTTGTTTTTTTACTCCAAGCCTATTCTTATGTCAAGTTAGGTTCCAAGATTATCCGCCTAGGTTGGATATATTGCAAAGAGCAGTTTCCGTTTTTCAAGATTTTGTACCAATTTGAGCAAAGGGAATATTAAAACGGAGCACTGTTCTTTTAATTCTTCAAGATTTTATTATTTTTGGAAAGAAAATAATTTCAAACTAAGGACCTGAAGCCAAATGTAATTTTCAAAGAGTGAAATCACCACTGATGTACTTTTCGATGAGTGATATTTTTATCAACATTAGACCTAGAAACTTGGCGTTTGAACACATAATTTTTGTCGTCAATATATAAGCTTAAACCATCGAAAAACGATTCTGTGACTAGCGCAAGTGACCCACCATCTGACTCATTTCACACTTAAGTTATTTGTACTTCTGCCATTTTCTGCCTCCCTCTTCATCTCTAAATTATTTAACTATTTCAGAAATTCAGAATAAGAGATTATGACCCAGTTTTATTGCTTAAAATTTTACTAAAGTTCACATTCTTCATGGTCTCAAAATTTCTTTTGCTTTGGTTTCAGGTACGAGACAGAGATTTATACAATGACACTGATACAGAAGTCAAACGGCAAATTTGGAAAGACAACCAATCCTTATTTGGTGATGAAGTTTCACCTCTTCTTACTCGCTACATCCGGGAGAAGGAAACTATTCTGTTTGATCATACAAACTTAACTAATCTGTTTTTTACGCCTTCACCAAAAGTGCGACGGCAGGGTGAAGTAGTTCAAAAATTGGCTCATATGATTGGCAGTAGTGTTAAACTGTATGACATGGTGTTACAGTTTCTGCGTACACTATTTCTCCGCACACGGAATGTGCACTACTGCACTTTGCGTGCTGAGTTACTCATGGCTCTTCATGATCTTGAAGTTCAAGACATAATCTCAGTAGACCCTTGTCACAAATTCACCTGGTGTCTTGACGCTTGCATCAGAGAGAAGAATGTAGACGTAAAGAGATCCAGAGAACTTCAAGGGTTTTTGGACAGTGTCAAGCGTGGACAGGAGCAAGTGCTTGGTGACTTATCCATGACTCTGTGTGATCCATATGCAATTAATTTCCTTGCAACATCTGTCATTAAAATTCTACATCACCTTATCAATAACGAAAGTCTTCCTAGAGATAACACTGTGTTGATTCTTCTGCTTCGAATGCTTGCCTTAGGTCTCAGTGCTTGGGTCATGATTGATTCTCAGGTAAATCTTTGAAATCCATCGCATTTTATTTCTTGAAAAAATATACTTATAAGGCTTTTACTTTTGCAACCGGCCCCCATTTTCTAGTAAATTTTAAATCAATCACAAGAAGTGTATTGTAATTTTCTATATCAATGACGCAAGTCCGCAATCACACGTCTGGTTTGCGGTGTCTGGAAATCTCCGCCTCCATGCTATTTTTTTAAAGGATAACAAATTGACATCATTCCTTGAAGTTTTTGCAGAATTTTCTTCACACAGAGAAGGAAAATCACGGCAGTTATAAAGAATTGCCGTTGAGTAGTGTTCTGTTTAAAAGATGAAGTATGACACGAAGTCTGCGATGTCGCAAACTGAGTCGTGTGATTGCCAACTTACACTGTTGATATCCTAGTATTCAATGAACTTTGACCGTCATCCATGCAGTACTTCCTAAAAATAGAACTCCCAAAGTCTTACAAAAAATGGTCAAGTGATGGGAATTTATGGTTTAAGTTTGAGTGCTGTTGGGTTTGGAAGTCAATTGTAGACCATCTTAGTTTTCTCAATATCTTTGATGCCTCTGATACATGTTGATTGTTCCTGATCACTATAACCGATAGCCCTGGTTAACCAAGAAAAATGGTTTTCTGGATTGGTTTGACAGTGAACATGTCAAATCAATTTTGTTTATGATACTTAAACTATTATAATTCCTCCTTCTGATGCTCCTATATTAGCTTTTATTATGTTTTTTTAGGAATTCAAAGAGCCAAAATTAGACAATCAAGTCGTTACAAAATTTTTACCTGCCTTGATGAGTCTCATAGTTGATGATCAAGTTCGTGGTCTCAATAGTAAATTACCACCAGATGAGCGAGATGCAGCCATCACTATTATTGAACACTCAGGTATGTGTAACGTCAACCTCTGCTGTGTTGAAACAAGCAAGTTTAGATTCAACAATCCTAGATTGGGTCCACCTCCGGATGGAAAAGCATCCTTTTTTCCTTTATCTTATTCTCAAAATTCATGCTGTAATTTCTATTTTTCTACCAGGCTTAGCAGGATATTGAACGCAGGATATTGAGCAGGATATTGAACGCTTAAAACTTCAATTTTTTTTCAAATACATGGGTTGTTCCAAAATTTTACAATTGATTATGATGCTAAAGAAAACTTCTTTCTTTGTGTTATGTATTTTACCCTGCATGTATGCCTTGCATTCAAAGGGTTCCTGGCGGTCTAGAAAACCTGGAGGAAAATTTCTATGGTGACCTGTAAAAATCAGGGAACCCATGTAGTCAGGGAATTTTGCGAGTAGTTCTATAACTTTAACCAGTGCCATTCATGAGAGACCGAACAACCTCTGAGCGTTTTTCCACATATTTCAATGCTTAGGAATTGAAATTTTGTCCGAAGTTCAGCAAAAGTCAGGGCAGTGAAAAGAAAAAATCTAAATGAGAGTTTTGTCCAACAGTCAATGAAAGTCATGGAATTTGGAAATTTTGGAGTCAGGAGAAACCAAAAAAGTCAGGAAATCGTGATATGAAGAAATTATGAAAACTCTGGAACAAACGTAGCAAACCACAATGTGTACTGTCGTAAGATTCAATCCATTACTTTTGAAACAAGCTCTCGTTGAGCTTATTTTATCAAAAAATTCAGCAGGTCATAGCATTTTTCAAATCCTTTATTGGAACATACTTTTAATTATTTTCGATCACTTTTTTGAGGAAAATTTAAACTGTAAATTCAAGACTCAAATAAAAATTGTCTTTAGAAGAACATAAAGAACTATTGGTGGCTTGCTCATATTTTTGTAAAGTGTTTGTAACTCTGTGGAACCACAATTAATGAAAGTGAAGTGACATTTCTGATCCATGGATGTTTTACCGAGGCACCATTTCTTCCTGTACTTCTAATTTCACTTGAGGGCAAAAACTGAACAGTCCATCTCTCATCTTGCCCTCAGTCTCCATATATCGGTAGTTCTTGGAATTAAAATAAATGTCTGTGTTTTAGGACCTCCTCCGGACGCGTGTTTGAATTTTGTTCAAGAAAATAGTGTAGCCAGTATCATAGCTATGTATTACACACTCCATGTAGCAAAACTGAAGGACAAAGTAGGCCTCTTGCGTGTATTAGGTATCCTAGCGCACTGTGAGAATGATCGTGCATTTGAAGACCCATTCCTACATTTTCTAGTAAGTTTATTTCATGTTCTTTCATGTCTTTTCTTTTAAGTGAATTCATTACTTGCACAAAGGCTGTCTCAAAAGTTTTGCATTGGTATACTGTTTAAACGGATTGATAAAGCTAGCAAATTACGCTTTGTAAGGTTCTTTGGATCAACTCTTTATCTACAAAGTGAGTCCTTGTTGAACTCATTTGATTGACTCAGTGTTTTTTTGGAGTCTTGTTGCATGGATCCCTATCAGATCTTAGGACTTATTCCTCACAAGTAAAAGAAAAACGTAAATTAAATAAATGTTAGATGCAAGTATCAAAAGAAATAAATGAAATAAGTATTTAAGGAAATTTATATGCTTGATTGCTCCTCATCTGACAATTTTAGGTTTTTTTTTAAGTGTATATTTTCGAAGAATATTCTACATGCCAATTTACTTTTCACTTGAATGTTTCTTCTTTTTTATCTTAACACTTTCTCTTAAGAATAGTCCTCAGACCAACCTAAACTAGATCTGGCAAAAGTCGGCACACTGTGTTTCCGAAAAAATACTGTATTTCAGTCAATTTTTGAGGAAATGCGCTCCATAAGGCTCATTTTGTAGATGAGCAATTGATTGAAGGCACCATGCAAACCGTAACTTGCTAGCTTTTATTGTTAGCCCATACGGTAGACTGATGCAAAATTTTTGGGACAGCCCTAGTTGTCCAATATGTTTTTAAGTGAACTAACAAAGAATTAAAATTATATTTAGAGAAGTGAGCGCTTACCAAAATACTTTTTTAGTAAACGATATTGCGATTTTATTAATTTCTTTTGGAAGCCAAAGTATATTAAATTGGTTCAGGATTTTTTATGTGTTTCAAATTGATAGTACTTTAAAAAGCCTTTTGTTTAGATTTCAAAGGTGAAGTCTTGAGATATTTCTTGGCTCTTATTAAGACTCAGGAGAAATATTTGCTTCAAGTGGTGAAACTGCTGTCATATCTTCAGCACCAATGTTATGCAGGTGCAGTATGCATTCATATGGACAATGAAGACATTAAAATTAAAGTTTATGGCCTGATCAATATTAGAGTTGATACTGATGTTCTTTGTTTCCTTTTCTATGTAGAAAGTGGAAAGTAATGTGTATTTTAAGAGCCTCATTTTGATGTGTATTTTTTTTCTCATTAGGTTTCACTCCTTATCCAACAAGCAGACGAGTTTGCGCATGAAGACTTTTGTACTGTGATTTTTGATGAGTTCTTTTTCACTGGACTTGGGCGGGACAATGTACTTCGACATATGTTAAAACTCCTCTGGTACATCTATTCCAAACTGCCACCTAATCGACTTAGCACCCTTATGAAAATTTTAGAGCCCAATTCTCAGGTAAAATTCTTACTGATTTTATAACTTAAACGTGCCAATTTTTCCTTTATGAATCTAAATCTACAAGGTGGTAAAATGTTAAAGGATTTGATAATTTAAACAAGTTGACTTTTCTTTTATGAATCTAAATCTGTAAAGTGGTAAACTTTAAAGAAAAACTACGCGAAAAAACTGAGAAAGGTATCACGAATTGTAAGGCAACAGTCTGGATAAATGAGGCAAGAATGAAGAAAGTGTATTAAGAATAGAAGAGCTTGAATCTAATTTTAAAACAGTAGAAAAATGTTGCACAGACTTTTATTTAGTTCTCGAACATCAAGTAACGGTTTTAAAATCTATCATTCTCAGTTTTACAGAAGAGGGTGGGTTTGATTCACTTTTGTAAGATTTTATAAGAGATGAAAGAGTTATGCTCATGAGCGGCACATCAATCATAGTTTTTGTCGTTAGAATAATTCAGTGTTGCTCAGAGATATGTCCTAAATAGGAAGCCTTCATGTAAAACTAAAGAGGTCATAGAATGAAATGAAAAATAACTAATATGTACAGCTCAATTCTAAGCAACCAGCTCCTGTCTTTGGAAAACAATTAGTTCATGATTATGCCACCTCTGAAAATTTTTAAGGTTGGGCAGAGAAGTCTTTGCCCTTATCACCAATGATAGACGAAAAATAAAAAAAAAATCATAATCAAAATTAGGAGGCTCCAATGAATTATGAGCGTAACAGAAAACTTTCAAAGTAGAGAGTGTACTGAGAAAACAGTGTTAGAAGTTAAAAAGGAAGAAATTCTCATAATCATTTTCTCATAATTCTCCCGCCCCACCCATTCACTGTTTATGATGAAACAGCAATAATGTCAAGTGTGTAATTTTTGTTTCAGCAAAACGAATCTGTAGACAGTTTATATGAAATGTTAGTGGAGAAAATTAATGGGAATCAGGAACCTACATCTCAAGAGGCGACTCCACGAAATTTAGACTATCTTGAATCCCCTTTAATGAGTGTGCCAACTCCAAAGCCTTTATAGTCCTTTAGCTTAGTTTCTGCTCCTTAACTTTTGTTGAACATAGAATAGTCATGCAAGTTATTTTCTTAAACAAAATTGTTTGTTAAAGGTAGAATTTCTTGGTAATGTAAAAATTCATCTGCCAGTGCTTAAATGATTGAAAGTCATGGATCTTCTCTAGGAGATATTGAACAGATTTTTACATTGCTGAAGTGCTTATTGTGATTTGGCGAGGAGTCTAAGTAAGCAGGTACTGAGAACATGAAAATACCAGCTCTTGACAGCTGTGGTGCAATGAGCCACAGATCTTGGTGCCACGCTCAGATCTCGCCCAAAATCTGGGCTTAATTTTTGGACCTCACAGTTGTTGGTCTTAAAAATGAACCTAAAAAATCCAGTGACAAGTAATTACCGTGCTTATAAGAAGGATTTTAAGTCAATCGACCAAAGATTTTTGAAGTACATGTTTGGTGATAAACTTCGCACCAAGCAAGCAAGTCCTTATCAAGACTGTGGAGAATACTAAGTTTACGAGGCACATAGTCTAAGAGGTAGCCAATTTGGCTGATTAATGTATTGTAGCTATCAAGAAATATTTACATCCAGTTGTTAGATTGAATGTAAGATGGTAGTAAGAGCCTCAGCTTCCATTTTTCATCGTATTAATAAAAAAGAATGTTTCAATATTTTCATTTTCATTGTTATTAATTGGGTCATAAGAAAAAATAATCTGTGTAAATTAGGACGATAAACATGATTTGTCATGCTGTCAGGTACTGTTTCACGCAAGGTGAATATCAAACAATATGATAAATCCATCGATCCACTGGTCTTTACCCCCTTCAAAAACATCTCGAAAACCTTTTTTCTAGATAGAATTCAAGAACAGTTACATGATTTTTATTGCATTCCATTAGGGAGAAGAATGTAGTTCAGCGATACTGCAGGTTCTGACACCTGCATCTATTCAATACTCTGTTCCATTGTCATTTTGGCAAGAAAGGATCTCTGTTGCCAATGTGCTACACAGTAACGGTCCCCAATTTTTTCTCCTAGTCAGTTTAATTTTGTTTGAGAGGAATAGAACTTTATGATTTTAGTTAGCACATGATAGGCATCATTTTCGTTACAGGAGCAGCATCTTAAGTCAACTTTTTTTTTAGTGTAAGAACAACTACATAGTGTTAAGATTTTCTTTTTACCAATTTTGTACCTTTAAACATCTAATTTTTTTTGGCATTTTTTTTTTTTTACGAATTTGCTCCTTTAAGTATAGTTAAAAGAGGTTTCAAAATGGTTGATGTTAATGTTTTCAAAACCTTTTTTTCCCCCTTAACTTTTTGATCTTAAAAACCTTTTTGACTTTCTTAAATGAAGAAAATTTCTGATTCAGATACTCAAATTTTTATTACTTTTAAAACAATGCCAAAGCTGATTGTCAATTTGAATAAAGTAGGTTTAGAGTAAACGAAAAAAAAAAAGGCTGGAACACCTTGAGCAAAAATGGTATCGTCTTTGCATTGGTAATTATTCTGTTTGAGTATGAAAATATCAATGTATTTTTAGCAGAATTTGTATAACTTGCAGGACTAGAATTGACTGCAAATTGTGTAAACTTTTTTATTCAATGAAGAATAGATCTCGTCTAGATGATATTCTTTTCATGATGTCAATCAAGTCTCAACCTACAAAATATAATTTTTTTTTTGTTGCAAATTGCTTTTCTCTCTTTCTCTGACGTTCATTAGTTGTTAAATATACTTAATTTACCTATCCGTGGAGTAATGTAAAATTAGATAGGTTCAATCAAAGTTTCATTTGTAAAGTATTTTATTACCTACTGTATTATTTTGTGTAAATAAAAGTGCAATCACCAATCAGATCGCTCTTCTTGATTATTTTCTCAATTCTGACTCCTATTCAAATAAGGTTCAATGGTTCAATGTTCATCAGTTTTGTTGTTCAGATATGATTCCTGAATACCTATTTTGCTATTAACACTCTGAGTCTGAGACTTTATCAATATTGCCTTGATAAAGCAGTTTAGGTAAATTACTCCCTAATATTATTCAGCAATCATACCTACCTACAGTTAAATTTTTGTGCAAAATATAAGTTTCTTTATTTGAAAATATGTTCACATCTATTTTCTTTTTTGGGAATGAGTAGAGAAACATCAAATTTACCAGATTTTGCATTGGTGCTTGGCAAAATGGGACTCAAGATATGGGGGAAAAATTAAATTGCAACCACAGCGTTAAGGTTTATTCTGCATCATGCAGGCAAGGGAAAGTGCATCCAAGAATCCTTAAAATCGAACTTTCAGAGCTTCACTCTGAGCATACCTATTCATCTTAGGTAGAAGAAATAATGCGAGAATGGCGATTTGCAACATCGCAATCTGAGTTACCGAAAGTAGGTACCTATTTTCTTGCTTCATATTAAAATGATGACGAGGAATATTTTTGTCCAATATTCTTGTGAGTATTAAGGAGCTTTCAGTATGAAAAACTGTAGGAATATATACTTCGTACTTGAATTGGATTTTTTCACTTTATTCGCTGAAAACTTTGATTTTCTACCATTTTTTACCTCCTTGAAACATAGCTCCACTTTTGATGTGGGAACTTATTTTTGTGGAAAAAAACAACAGATTTTCTTTAAATTTTCTATGAATTTTCCATGTTCATTCAAAAATATTTATTCAAAGAATTCAAGGTGATAAGTGTTGTGATAAGTTTTCGTGTAATTAAGAAATTAAAAGAAAAAAAATCCATTGGAGAAGAATTTATTCAACCGTTGTCAAATGTACTTACTTAATACTTAATGGAGAAACAAATTTTTTGATTCTATGCTGTGAAGAACCACAAATTGCATACTCTGCTATTTGAAGGATTGCTTTTTCCGTTCTACGCGTTCCTGGTTCCCATTCAAAGATTACTCTGCATTACATCACTATCACCTAACCTTAAAATTTCAATGTGTTTAATGTCTAATGTGGTTCTGTTTCTAAAAGAGGAGGCTATTGATAAGACTGCCGTCAAGAAAGTTAATTTCATAGATTCATCAGTGATTTCTACAAGGTTTTAACTTTTAGGTCATATATTTATTTTCCGAAGATACACTGTGAAATGATGTCCAGTCTCCTGTGTAGAACCGTTTGTCTTCGTCGAAACCATCGAGTAAGCACTCCTGAACATTATTGCTATGTTTGATTTAAAATGATTTTTGCCACCTTTATTTTGATAGTAGCTATCTCATAGAGTAAATTATAAATTTGGTTGATCAGAATACACGAACAAACCTTTCTATAAGTATTGTGTAAAGAGCGAAATGTTTTCCTCTCTCCGTAAGTAAGTACCTCGTGTTAACAGCCAATCAGTTTACACACTTTTAGGGAGCAACAGAAGGTAAGTCATGTTGTGTTCATTTTAGCGTTGAAAATAAAAGTACAAGAATCTAGATTGTGGAATATATGTCTCTCTATAAAAATATGTAACCTCCTTCGACAGGGATGCTAATCTTTGACGAAGGCTCAGCGATCACCACTGTCTTCTAGCTAATTTTTTGTCAATAGAGATAGTCACCAATCCTGAAGACGGACTATTTTTTCCTCATCAAATAGATTCAGATGTATCTTGATGTAGAGTGTAGAGGGATTCAACCAGTGATTTTAGATATGGGTGCCAGAAAAACCCAGGGATAAGTGCCAGTGAAGGTCTGCGCAATTTACCAACTATCAATTAGTTCCTGCTGCTGCAAGCCAATCTTTACCCAATACCTCATAGTCTCAGCTCAAACACATGCATTTTTCAAAGATAGCCTTTACTGTTTTGCTCCAAATTTCAAATGGACTCTTGGGGCGGTAAGAAACCTTTTGTTTGAAATGAGTTGGAGTGTATCTCACATAATTTTTACTGTAACATCAGAAATTCTTTTTCACTTCCCTTTGAGAAGTAGATCAATTCCTGCAGTATTTTATAAACTTTTTAATTTTTTTATTGATTTTGTTTCAGCATTTGAAAGAAATATCTACAGTATTGTCGAGAAATTTTGCAGATATGCAAATACCAAAGCGGAAATCTGACAAAAAACCCCCAAGCGTAGTTTCGTGGAAGTCTTTAGCCCTTGTCGTTGGTGTAGGAGGATCATTAACACTTCTAATGCAATACATCAAGAGGGAAAAGGATATGGGTGAGTAATTGCTCGAATTAATTATGTATCGTTTTCCTATCGCAGTCATTATTGCTAGCATCGTTCACAGCAGGGTCATCTGTATACATCTATCAAAGTATTAGATATGCTTCCTGAATTATTTGACCAACAATCAAATGATTTGTTATCCCCTCTCTATGCAGATAGGATTGCAGTCATGATACATGAATATATTCAGAACATCTTCCACTTAAAAATATCAAAAACGGAAAACAAGTTTCCCTTTGTGCAGATGTCTAGTACGCTTTTTTCAAATTTCAAAAGATTATCAAGAAATTTTGATATGAGATGTTTCTGACAGTATTCCAATCTGGGAGCGAATCTTCTCACCAGGAAGAGTCTTTGATGACTTGAACAAAGTCGTAGCTGCTATGCACCATGCGCCAAATGCATCTAAAAATTGGGGGGTGAGGACGGAGCCGAAGGAGCTATTAAGGCATCTAGAAAATTTGATCCACCTCGTGGTTTTTTTTAACCCTTAATCACAAAGCAGCAATAGCTCTCAACGCACTGTTTATGCTGCGACAGCACTGCCTGATAACAAGAAGATCTGAGGACAGGACGGAGACACCAAGCAGGACAGCATTATTATTTGTATAATAATAATTTCTCCAGGCTCCACGCTCTAATTGCTTAAGATGCTTCTTTTTAAATTACCCTGAACTGTTTTAATTTTTTTAAGCCACATATTTAATTTTTTTAATTGGTAACTTATCATCTGCAGCTGCTGAAAGAGAACGGAAACGGTCTTTGGGCAAAGCTGCAATCGGAGGATCATTTGAGCTGATCGATCAAAACAAGCAGGTCAGGAAAAGTGAAGATTTCATCGGCCAGTGGGTGCTCCTGTACTTTGGTTTTACACATTGTCCGGATATCTGTCCAGAGGAATTAGAGAAAATGACAGAAGTCGTCAACATCATTGGTGAGGGCTACTAAAATTAAGAGAAAGTCTATGCAACCAATTATTTTTATCATCTATTGAGAACAAGGAAAAACCACACATGAATATATCCTTTCTGAAAAATACAATTTTCCCATGACAATTTACCATCTCCAACAAGATTTGTCACCAATATTAGTTTGTTAGTTTTGAATTGGGTCTTATTTTGGTCTCTAGCTTTCGAAATGACAAAAATTCATCATAAAAATTGACTATGATCTTGAATGAGCCGTATCAACATTAGCCCTTATCAACATCAGGTTAGGTCAAATAAATTATTTTAGGGGAATACTCTACTAACGATGTGAGAATACTCAACAAGTTGTTTCTGTGGAGAAATTTTCAGGTCACTGGCAGAACTATTTGAAATATGCATTTTTCGCAGTCCATTCTCTCCCATAATCAGTCACAACAACACTTATGATAGCCTTTACTTACAACTAGCCTCTTATTTTAATCACCTTGTTCAGCATGATCTTTTATTCTCTGTTTTATCGGCTCTTAGATGCCAGAAAAGACACACCCAATCTACAACCAATTTTCATCACTGTCGATCCATCACGAGACACTCCTGAAGCTGTTGGGAAATATCTTCTTGAGTTTTCTCCAAAATTTATTGGTTTGACTGGATCAACAGAACAAATTGCCAAAGCTTGCAAAGCATATCGAGTCTATTTTAGTGCAGGTCCGAAAGACCAAGATAGTGACTACATCGTAAGTTATATTTCTTTGTTTTTATTTTAGTTTTAATTTATGCGTCAGCTTCAAAGCAACTTTTAAAATTGAAGCACTAAAAATCCTTAGGCGGCTATAATACCTTTCTCTGATAAAAATTAGTGAAATGACAAAAATTGTAAAAAAAAGAAAGAAAATGAGGGGTAATTAAAACTCTGAATTTTCCAAGGTGGTGCACCATCCAAGAAGAGGTTATCTAGTTTAATTTTGGTGGCAAAACTAGAAAAGCAGGTATCTTTTGCCTTGTTTCTAAATTATCTCTCCTATTTTATATTTTTTTCAAAGGAAAACGTTTTTTGACAGATTTGTCTGAAATTGTCACTTTGATTAAGCCATGTACATTTCAAAGATAAAACGATTTCTCTTGCCTTGTTGTAAAATTGATCTGAGGTAATCTCCTCAATTTTTAATACAAATCTGGTTATGAAGTTTGTGCATTAAAATATATTAGCCTGGTTGTCTCAAGAATCTGTATAATATTACATTATTAGCCTGAAATTCTGTACGTATGGATGATTTTTTGCAGGTGGATCACACAATCATCATGTACTTAATTGATCCAAATGGAGAGTTTGTTGACTACTATGGCCAAGCAAGGAATTCCCATGAGACAGCGGACAGTATACAGTTTCATATGACAAAGTGGAAAATTGCGAATGAGAAGTCCTTATTCGATCAAATAGTTGAGAAGACATCACCTCTTCTGAAATCGAGCTAATCGCACCTCAAAAGCTAGTCCTCAAAATATCTTAATGACTGAAGATGTGCATGTATTTTTGTTAGACCAATAATACCCTTGAAGAACTTTTTCTGCACGAGTCATTTAGGCACAGTTAGTTTTTTAGCTAACAAGTGCTAGAATTCAGTTTAAAACTGAAATTGTCCTTATAGAGAAAAACCTCAAGCAAGTAAAATTCCCCGTGGCTATTAAATAGCCCCGTATGCTGTTAGATGCAGCACTAGTTACGACCCATCAGGAAGGCAACTGCAGACTCGTTTTGGGTCTAATTAGACACATCAGTGTAGCCTCCTGATTTTCTGCTTACAAAGCTCAGAGAGGTCGTGAAAGTCAGTTCGAGGTTTGGGCATGCGGCTTTGGCGATGAGCAATTCTACTGCTATCTAGTAAGCGAATTATCCAAACAGTGCAAATGTCAAGTCAAGCCAGTCTGTGCGCACAAACCCGCCTTCCTAATTGGCCGTAACAGTGTTGCACCAAACAGCATATCTCCACAAAGGAAATTTTGCTTGCATGAACTCTTTTTCCCTCTGCAATGAAAATTTCAGTTTTGAACTGAATTCCAGCGCATGTTGGTAAAAAAGCTATCGTTGTCCCATGAAGTCCAAGTTTAGTCATCATATTTTATAAGGCACACTATCATGAGAACAACAAGAGAAATTTAAAGGTCCTAGAATCATAATGAATATGACCATGCGCTGGCTGCATAACCTTCAGGTGGGTAGCACAGCAGCTAGAGCGGGCTACTATCATTGCCTGGAGTCCTTGCCAGGAACTGGTAACTTCTGCAACATTCTAGTAAAAGTATGTTCCAGGCTAGAGTGTCTGAAGGTGACTTCATCAGAAAAATTGCTGTTGTCTTGCGGAAGAAGATGGTGCCAGTTTCTTAACTCAGATATAGCCCTTAGGCGAATGCTGAATTATGTAGAATTCTTGAAAGGATGTGAAGCATTCATTCAAGTATTTTAGCTAGTTTGAATAATGTACCCACTCGCACAATTTATGTGTTTTAATTATACATGAAGTAAAGAAACTAACTTTGAAAATATTTCAAGCAAGTTTCTGTTGTTTATCAGCTCTCAAGGCAGTTAACTTGGAATTGATTTTTGCTAACGTTTAAGAAAACGTTAGCTAATGGGTACACCTAATTTTAAGAACAGTTTTCTTGGATTACAGACGAGCTTAAAATCATAAGTTACGAAGTAGGTCTGTTGCTCACAAGAGCTGATGGCAACTGAGAAAACTTTTTGTCAGTAAAACTGCATGAAAATCACCTTGAGCACTTCAGGAATGTCTAAAATACGCTTTGAAACACACAATTAGCGAAGTTTTTATCATACATTTTTAATTTTACCACATCTTCAGGCACTTTTTCCTTTGTTGCCGTTAGCTTTACATCTTTTCCTGGTATGAGCTATTGTCACTATTTTTTTTCTTTCACATTAAAATGTTGCGGATGAGAATATGTGTCTTGATTTTTCCAGAAATATCACTCACAATTCGGCAGCACTTAATTTTTTATGTACTAACTTGTGGAAGAGGAAAGAAAATTCCACTGATTTTGTTTCAGGGTGAATTTCAGTTTAATCCCTGGCTAAAATTATCTTATCTATGTCAAGGGAAGTATCTACATTGTTTCAACTTTTCAGGTAAGATACTATACATATAGAAAGCTGGTTGATCGATAATTCAGCCGATTTCATGGATTTCTCACTCTTATTTGCTAATTTTTAATAGTGTACCTTGCTATTCAGTCAGAAAATATGGTATCTGCATGCTTCTGAAAGGATTATTAATTTGTCTCAATTCTTTTCATAATACTGATGTTGAACAGTGTGTGCGTAGATTTATGTTTCATCTTTTTTGAGAGAAGAATCACTCGCAAGATGCAATCAAAAGGAATTGTATGTCATGTTCGCCAGGACATGTTAGAATTTTTTTTTTTTCCCAAATTTTCGTCATTCTTCTTCAAATTATCAGGGTTAAAAATATTCAATCCTTCCTCAAAATACTGAAAAATTTAAGAAGAGAAAAGTTTTCCTCTGTTGAGTAATTTAAAACTAAATGTTTACATCTATTATTAACTTTTATGGCAGTTATGAGAATATACTTAGAAAGGTTAATAAAAAAGAGGAGGAAAAATTATTATCTCTTACTGCTGCTCTTTCAATGAGAACACGCCTTTTGAATTTTCTTAATTCCAGCATGGAAAGAGGACTGAATGAAATTTGTATTGCTATAAAATTTACAGTTAAAAGTTTTATTGTTACCTTCTTTCTCTCTCTTTGTCACAAAAAGCTTCAGGTGTTTCTCTCATTATACATTTTCAACAGATTAAAAGATTTGTATTGTATCCAAGCTCCTGAGTCATTAAATGTAAGTTTCTTATAAAAAAGTTGGTTCTTTTTTATGGTATTTATGACTTTCCTTGTAAAGTTCCAAGTATTTTCAAGCCATTTTCTCGATCCAGAAACTTGTGTTGCGTTGTTCTATGAGCAACCAATGCGTCTCTAGACAAGGTATGAAGTAAAGTGCAACCCTTACTGTTACCTCTTCAAAATACAAGGAAAACGAATCTTACAACAGGAAGTCTGAAAATCAACTCCTGGACAAGTTAAAAGTACCTTCAATTACTATTAGTTGAATGGCATATATACAAATGACGTCATCTGTATAATTTAAGTTACATTTGACCAGCGTTCAGAATACTTGTTTATATTTCATTCATGAGTTGATTTCCGTACTTTCTATTGTGTGAATCGTTTTCTATGTAAGATTTTGAACAGAAAACATGTGACGTTTTCTTCCAGTTCAGACCTTGTCTAGCTGTCTAGGGGCCCATTCTATCAAAAAGTCACATGCGTTATACTTGCTGAAATGTAAGAATATAAAATTCTGTGTTAAATTGCAAGTTTTTTGTCATTTTGCTGACTGTCCGATTATTAGATTTGTTTGCACGTGGTTGCAAGTTGAGGCAGGAATAACTATTCCATCATATATGATCACTTATTAATGGTTAGAACTGTTGAGGAAATAAGGATGGCTCGAGCCTGTAGTAAAACAAGCTCAAATTGCGCATAACTTGAGTTTAAAGCAAAATTTTCTTGACTGTTAGTCGAATTCAGAGGTTAAGTGTTATAACTTGTGATCGACCATAACTAAAATAATTCGGGACAGGCGCATTCACATGGCCTGTCAGGCTGCACTCGACAAGCCCTCCACCGAAACTCCCCCCCTTCATCTCTGTAGCATAGCATGGACCAAGAGAATAATTATGTAATAAAAATGAATAAGAGTATCATTATTAGGAATAAATATTTATATTCTCTTGGTGCATGACTGTGGAGCACGTTTGACACAAGTCCAGGCAGAGGGTCCACAAAGTGGCCTGTCAGGCTGCCTGACAAGCCATGTGAATGCGCCTTAAATCTATTAATTTGAGAGTTATGTTCATACTTGATTATTCAGTCAACCACAACCAATAAAATTGGTACCTGAGGCACAGTGTTCTTCCAAAAACATCCTGATAACTGATAAGTAGTTATTTGCATACTCCTCTTTCCTTCCCGAAAAACCCTTCTCTAAATTTTTCTCTTTGATTATTGAGTTTAAAGAAAAAAAAAGTGCTTACTGATCAAATTCCAGGACAAATTAAAGAAAAGAGGTCAAAATAGCAACAATTTTATTTAACGTAACAATAAAGAGGTACCTATGGGTAAGAAGTAATTTTAAAAGTAACAGAAGTGTCAGGAACACTTTCATGAAATTATTGAAAGAAAAAATATCTAACCGATTATAACTAAAGGCCAAAATCAATAGGAAACAAATATAAAAATTTCAAGTGAGCCAAATTTAATTTAAGCTTAAAATTACTCTAAGGAGCTAGAACACTCATTTTTAACAGACATACAAAAAAGAACAGATCCTACATCTCCTTGCAAGAAGAGACTGATTTGGACTCGATAAAATGCTACCAATAGACCCTGTTCAAATCAGAGCCTCCCTAACAGAGAATATAGTATTGTTTGTTAATTCCCTCAAGCTTGATTAAGCAAAATTTTCTATGTATAAGAGTGATGGACTAATTATGCATTAAATCTCTTCAATTCTATCAGTTTCACCCTGTCGTTTGCAGCTCTGAGCTCATTGCACATGACACAAGAGAGTCCAATATTTTCTAATCTTTTTGAGAGTTTAAAAATTCCTGCTGTGACATTACTTTAAATATCTGTCTTACAGACATGAATATTACAAATACATAATTTGAATGCTCATTCAATTATTAAGGCACTCAGTTACCTATTCATTTTTTCATCTGACCTAAGTTACTAACTTGCTCTTCGTGGCAAACAATTGAAGTGATCAGTTTCAGAGGGGCTCAAGCGCCAGATATATAAATTCGAGAACAAAAATAGAGACTGTATGAACTAACTCGTTTTAAATTGTAGATTAATTAATAATTTGATTAATTCATTTATCGCTTTAATATTTTAGAGCTCTGAGATTTATATGGGGTCAATTAAAACGATTATCAAAATTTTTCTCGAATTATCATTTTTGGCGCTTGAGCCCTTTTGTGACTGACCGATTCAATTCCCTATGCTTGTTTTACTGAACACAGTACAAACTAAAGCAGTTTATTAATTGTTCTCTCATCAAAATTTTACATTGAAAGTAAATCTTACAACCTGAAGTTTGGAAATGAATTCTTAAAGAGGAATTAAGTATTTATTATTATTATTAGTTAAATTAAGTGGCAAAAATACAAATGACATCACTTGTATGATGTTCGTTCCATTTTATTAGTGTGAAGTGGTTATATAAATATCTTCAGAATTAATATCTGAACTGCCTGTTGTATGAATTGCTTTCTACAGTAAATTTTGAAGAGGTAGCATATAACTTTAAGTTTTAATCTGTACCTTGTCTAGTGGCCGATGGGTCTGTTGCTCACAAGAAATACAGCCAGAAGAATAAAATCTCAGGAAAATCAGGATGAGCACATAAAAAAAGTCTGGAATCCTTTCCTTAGTGCGAAATCAGGGCAGTATGTTGAATACTTCTCAAATTGCCGCGGGCAGTTATTCATAGTGGCTGGCAATCAGTTTTGCACAGAAAGAAACCTAATCTGAAGAGCTAAACAACCTCATGAACTGTTACACATTTTCCCTGGATATAATTTCCATTGATTTAAAGCTTCCTTTCGTGCAAAACCAAGAAACAAGGAGGAAACATGTGGTTGAAAACGATTGAAATCATGAGCGAGAAAAAGTGTGAGAGATTGATTATTGATTAGGTTTTTCTTTGTCTCTTTCTGGACACACCTGATTGCCGGCGACAAAAAAAAAATACCCAAGAGCACAAGAACTTTAAAAAAATGGTTACAAATCACGCAGATTGTGTGTTAGAGAGTGGATCTCAGAATTTTTGGATGAGGTTTCGTGGTTTTGGTGCGATTATTTCTTTGGAACGTTGATTTACTCGGCTGTGTCTCTTGCAAGCAATAGACTCATTGCAAAAGTTCTGCAGCTGCATGAAAAGCAAAAAAATTTCTCTCTTTTGTTTATACAAGTATTGACTTATCACAATACATAAGGCACTGTTGTCAATTAGTGGCAAAAATAAGAAATAGATAAAAAATAACTTAAAGAAGAATTGATATCACATTATGAAAATAAAATTTTTCGTCTTAGATAAAAGATCACAGCTAAATAGTAAGTCACTTACTGAATTGAAGGCTAATACAATAATTACAAGACTGCAGTTTGTAATTGTATATGGAGTTGCAGTATCTAGTTTGTATTCTTTTTATTTACCCTCAATTTTTTTGACACATTCGATTGAAAATAGTTTTTGACCATGGTGAAGGAGGATGATCCTTAAAGAAAATACTTCCAAGTGTAAATTTTTTCATACATGTGACAAATACGTCCATTATTACCTCCTTAAGTTTCTGCGATTTTTTTCCTCATTTATCACAGTTAGACGTTCTAATCAAACTGGAGCCTAGGAACAGTTAACGTATAGTTTACTTACATGAACCTAAGTTACTGTCATAGAGCCATTACTTCTAAAAAAATCATCTTTGGTTTACAGTAATATATGTATAAACGCCCCATGTGAGGAAGCATTCCTCAGAATCTGCATCCTGCTTGGTGTGGAGCGAAGTAATGACTGTAAGCCAGCAGTAGGTCTTGCGTTACTTTAAAGCATAGAACAACTAGTAAACTTATACTTAGAAAGTATATTAAATCGGAGCAAGAGTCCTTCTTTCTGTTTGTGTCAGCTCTGGGTGCCACGTGTCGACAATGAGTACAAGTCTTGCTGATGTTCCATTATGCCATACTTCATGCTCAAAGCTGTCATCAAATACGAGAACTTTGCCTTCTTTCCAGCTCCTGACAAAATCAAACACAAGAGGAATCAGCCGAGGAGCAAAATTCAGTGAGGCTATCGAAACTTTTAGTAGAGCTAGAGAGAAAGACTCAAAGTTTCTAAACAACCAAGTTCAAAATGCACACCTTGTTTCAGAGTTGGCATCATAAGTACAAACATTTTTAAGCTTTCTGCTACAAAATGTTTTTTGCTGAAATTACTGAACATATTACATACAAGTTACCTTACTTTGATATTTGCACTTTAAACTAAAAATGACTGCCACTGTGTGACACAGCTTTTCACAACAAAAAAGAAAAAAGAAAAAAAAAGTAGATATATCCTGATTTCAGTTGATTCATTCAGATGAGATATGCATAACAGCGCAAGTGCATAGACGCAAATATAAAGGTTGTTAAGTGCACCAACTTATCGAGTCCTCCATTTAGCCAACTTTAAGTCTGATTCATAAATTTAATAAATCTTTTGCATGTTGCTTTTTTTTATAGTAATAGGAGTAGATGTAGTCCCAATAAAAAATAAAGTAAACATACAGATTAAAATTTGGATGCGAACCTTATTTCTTCTGCAACTCTCAGAAATGTGTCAGCTGGGACGATAAGACCTAAATGAGCTCGCAATCGACAGTTAGTTGGGCCACAATGAGCTCTAACGTGAGTCCCTGGAGACATTATACTGAACTTTACTTGACCACGTGAACAGGTACTTGCTGCTTCAAATGAACTCACAATTCCACATGTAACAGGTGCTTTGCGGCAGTTGTCATGGATTTTCCTTCCTAGAGAAGAGATAAAAGTTTAAGTCAAGATAGTTGAAAAATAAAATTCATTATGAGAATGGTAATTTCTTAACCATTAGGATTCACAATATTTAAAATTCTTGATAGAAATTTGGGTATAATTTCCAATCCAAGATCAATGATTCACTCAATCCATTCCCCTTCCAAATCACTGTTTCAAAGCACTTTCCTTCTGGTTGGGTTGAGCAAATATTCAATTAGATAGATTGACGGTATTTCAACCATTCTTTTGAAGATTTCTTTGTTTATTGCTTACAATGTAGAGGTGCAATTAACAGATTTCATGGATGAAAGAGTTACGGGACGTTTTCGTGCTTTTGAGAAGAATATGCTTTACTTAACAATAAATTAAAATAGATGAGAGCTTACGACACAAATAAATTTTAAACTTGAATATTGAAATACAAAATGAGCTTTCATAATTAGTTTTTTCCAAGTATACTCTACTTAAGACAAGTTTCATTTTCTATAATTGGTACTTAAATTTTGTCAAAAATGTTACTGATTCCTCCATCTGCAATACCCTTCAATTTCTTCAAAAACAGTACGGGTAGGAGGACCTAGCAGTGTTAGGCCCATTTTACATTCTCTCTAAGTCGGCGTCTCGCTCCTATGGGAGAGTTATTTAATTGTTGTAAGTAATTCATCGTAAGACTATGCTCCTTATCTATTTCTTTGACTAACCCACATATGCCATTTTCTCCTATTTTAAAGCTCATCTGTCTGATAAGCCAGTGGAAAGTCACGCTGACAATTGTAGACACTACGCGCAGTGAGTGCTACATTTTGGTGCACAGCCAATTCCAGCGAGTTGTACTACGTTGCTTCAATCTCTCACTCTTAGGTGATACTTGCAATTGCACACACTACGCAAGACCCTTGATTTCATACCGTTGGATTGTCTCTGATTGCGCCGTAGGATATTTTTAAAACAGAACTAAGTTACAGGATATTGTTATTCACAATAACTTGCTATTTACCATTACTTGATCAACTTTTTGTGGGCAGACACAAATTCAAGAAAAATTACCAAAAATAAAAATTACCTCGAGCAAACAGCTCAAACTGTTTCCAATCACCTACACTTCGTAACTTCTCTGCTTCATCTACAAATTCACCATTTTTAGTCAATAAAGCTTGAGCTTCATTACGAATGATTTGCCAATTTTCCTCCAGTTTCCTGAAACATACAAATTGAAAGGACTATTTTTGAGAAATTGAACAGAATTAATTAAGAAATGGAAGAGTAATATAAAAAGAGATGAAAATCAAATTTCAACCTCTTGAAAAAAAGGAATGAATGAATACACAGATACCATCGCGAAATATTGAATGCAATAATCACTCAATTTGTTTCCAACAATCGTTTCTACCTACTACCTCTTATTCACTACAAATAATGAAATCATAGACATTCAATTCGTCTTGATTTTTTTACATTAAAACGAAAAAAAATCGATTTCTCTGGTCAAATTAAATTTTCTGAATGCTTTTCTGTTTCACACAATATCTGCAAAATAAAGGAGAAAAGAAAAGTCAGGTTAAACAAGGAGAGAGGAAAATGCTGAAAAATGGCTCTAATGATAATGAAATGTAATCATGGCAAACCTGAAAAATGAAGCATAAGTTGTTTGCTCCAAAGTCCACCATGGACGAGACACGAGTCGGTCAATATTGTACAGAGACCTCTGGTACAGGGAACGAAACATTCCCCTTTTCACGCCAATTTCATAAACCTGAAAGATGAGTGAAATTATTTTTACAGGACATTATTTGGGCTTAATCTTATTTTTTGATTCTTAATTGTAAACACAAAGAGGAAGGAAAAGCGGAAACAGAAAAGAAAAATCAAAATAAGAGGCAATTTCTGCTCTTCGAACTTGTGCTGTATAAAATCAAAGTTTAAAACGTTTTGAGATCGAATACTAAGTGCTAAAACTAAGCATACTAGGTGCATAAACTAAGTGCTTTAAGGTCAGGAAAAGAGTATTTTACCTTCAGAGCTTCATCATTGCGTCCCAGACGATAAAGAGCGTCACCCAGGTGGAAGTAGAACCTGCTATCTTGTGCTCCTGAGTGATTCGATTCAATGCCATTCTTAAGGTACTTCACTCCAGCTTCCAAATTGTCCTCCATCTTTAAGATGAATCCGTAGTGAGCAGCTGCCATACCATCTGAGGGCCAGCGATTGAGAACATTTTCCAGCACAGTTTTAGCGTCGTTCAGCCTACCACAAGCAGATTCATCACGAGCTTCATTCTTCTTCACAACTTCATTTGTATACAAAGCAACAATTAGTCAACAGTATAATAACAACTCCAAAGGAGATATACAAGTAGAGAACCTGATATTAGCCTTGGAGGTAAAGGTTTTTGAGAATATATTTTGTTTAAATAAAAAATTGAGAAAAGAAACAGTTTCATTCAGTTTTTATAAATAGCTTGGCTGAAACAATTTTGGAAATATATTTTAAGGCTGGAAATTATTTTTCAAAACGCATTTTTAAGGTTTTCTAACTGTGATATGTCTACAGAGAGATGTGCGGCTGAGGTTGTGCTTCCAAGGTGTATGCGTACAACAAACGAAACAAAAAATATTCATAAATCGGTTTTAATTCACAAATATGAATAATCCCTTATTGATAGGGGGGGGATGGGAATTATCTTAAAAATATCAAAGATATCACGTACACCTTGGAAATGTCAAACAAAAGTGTTTCTGGTGGCTAAATATCCTTACACTGAAGCTAAAATAGAAAAAATAGGTGATGAATAACCGGTTTAATCACATAGATATTTTAAAAAACAGGAGTTTAGATTTGAGGGCCCTGATTCCGTGATTCTTTTTTATGACTGTATGGTTTGAGACATACTCGCATAACTTAAAAAAAAATAGAAATTGACCTCTAAAAATGTTCGGAACTTTTCACTGAAATACAGGGAACCATCTCTATCCATACATGAGAAAAGAACGAACAGTCCTGAAACCTAATTTTTGGGAAATCAACTACTTCATGGAACACTGTTTAGATGGCAAAACAAAAAGTTGAGCTACAGCTTTGAACTGGACTGTGTAGTTTTCTGCTGTGCTCTCTGACTTTCAGCAGGGTAAACTAGGGTCAAATTCGGGGGGCGAGGAAGGCTGCAGGCCCTTGGCAGCTGATTTTCGAGGGGTGGAAAATTTCGGAAATGGGCAGAAAATTCAAAAACCGATGACTATTTTTTATTATACATCAAGATTAAAGAAGAAGAAAAGCAAGTGAGAAATGCCAATACTTTGAGTTAAAAGCATTTGCTTATGTGTTCTTTGACTAGAGAATAAATTGATAACAAGAGGTGATAGGAGGAGGCCTCCGAAAAATAGAATTTGTTGGATGACATCAAACATCAAATAATCAGAATAACTTTAAAATGTACTGCTTACCTGTTCATAAGCAGGAAGGTGACAGCTAGGTTATTGCGATGAATTGGATCATTATGAAACCGCTGGATGAGACTGCGGTGAATTGGAATCAACTTTTGATAGAGACCTACGATTTAAAAAAAATTGATTAATAAACAAATCAGTCTCGCTACAGGGAGAAAAGTCTATGGTTAGAGGAATATTTAAAATGCTGGGACCATGATGGCAAGAAGTCAAAATGCACAGACTATTAATAATATATGTAACACCTATGCACAGGCAACATTGACCGTGATTCACCCAGGTTCTTTACATATTTGATTAAATACTGATTAAAACTTTTTTTTTAAAAATTAAGGTGAAACGATCAATAGAAAATGAATCATGGTACAGCCATAATAAATGCAAGTAAAGTAAAGATAAGATAGATACCTTTAAAACGCATGCGTTCAATGGTTCTGTTGGCAACTCTGAGGTATAGAGCATCAGAGATATCAGGTAGTTCAAGAGTCCGGGCATACAAGTTGATGGCTTCAAGTAGATGCGTATTGCTTTTCAAATTCTCGGCAATTTGATCAATACACCTGGCAAAGCCATAATAAGCACGGACTGATTTTGGATGCTCCACCAACAGATTGGAAAACAGGGATTTAGCTCTTTCTATGGACTGGCATAGGAGGAGAGGGTTAGAAGTTAGAGGGAGAGAAAAAAAACACAGTTATTTAGTAAAACCAATAAAAACACTGAAATTAATTGGATAATGGACTCATAAGAAGCAGCATGAGTTACTAACAAGCTTTGCAAACTTTGCAGAAATGTTCTGTTTTCTTGTTTAAATCAAATGAGCACAGTAAACCAGGGAGGAATACAAAAGGTCTTTCTCAACCATAATCGATTGAAGGATTTTTTCAAACTTGAAACTTTTCATTCTTTGATCAATTATTATATTTTTCTTTTCGTGAGATAACAAAGGAAATAAATAACGATCAAGCAAGAATGATAGACAATTTTTTTCCATTACTCCTTGTTTTTTCTTGAGTAAAATAAACATATATGTGAGTTGAAAACAAGCTAGGATTTTCAGTAACAGATCGTAACAAAGGTTAAGATTTGTTCCCGTAGAAAATTATTTTTCAGCAATATTCCGATTTTTCGTCCAAGTAATGCAAATTATCTTCCAAGGCATCGTATATTCTTCGAAGAAAGTCAAGAGCAATCAAGAACAATGCAGGTAAAAAATGTTCTGAACCTGAGAGATGATAATCAAACAGCTCTATCATATTAGTCTATCAAACATACAATCTTCGCTTGATTTCAGAATGTTCATAAAAGATGGAACATAACTGGATCCAAATGAACGATTGCAGTTGATTTGGTTGGAGTTTGTGGGTGCATGGTCAATGATAGAACTGAAGAAAAAGATCACCCAATGTGTTCATCATACATTTTACGGTCACTGTCTATATTTCCGACTCTTGGAAGTGTAACTTTCTTAGGAAATTGTTCTGAGAAGACAAAAAAACAAAAAAGAAAACTGTGAACCCAAACTTTGAGGTGGTTTCAAGCAACTTTCACACAAGAACAAGGAAAATTAAATGAGAGAGGTTAGGGTAAAATGATTATGGCTGGATAATTTTAAGTTGAGGCAAAAGTTTTGTCAGGGTATAGTTAGATTGGTGTAAAAAAAAAATAAACCACAATTACATTGATAATTCATGTTAACTCCTATCACAAAAAACATAGAAAATTCCACTCAACTCAAGTCAAGCCATAAGAAGAAAAAACCTATTTGCGAGTAACCCTAGAAGAGCCTCAACTTATTAACCCTCGTTAATAAGTTGAGGACTTATATGCATACAAGGTGCCAGTAAATTAAGAATTTTCTCTATAATCATTGCAGGGGCTGTGGAGAAAAAAAACTTACAGGGCTGGGCGAAAAGAGAGAGACCTAACCAAACCAATACACACAGGCTAAACCAAGCAACTCACTAAAATATACTTAAAATTGAAAAAGAGGAGAAAAACTAAAATAAAATATCTTAAACACTTATTTTCGATGAAATGCGGTGACTGCTCACAAAAAAGAAACTTTAGTCTGCGAGAAGTTGAGGAAGAAAAACCAGCATTATTTTTTACTTATCTAGTTATATTTCATTATTTTAAAGACTAGATAACAAATAATTAAGGACTAGGATCACTAAATTTTTAACAACTGACTAGATAAACAGAGAAAAAAAAGAGACTTAAACTTATGAGTAAGATGGAAATGTCTTCACTGACCAAAATATCTCCATAGATAACTGAATTTATTTCTAGGATATTGAGTAAATTTTACGGCCTAGGAGAGAAATCTCTAGCACAGTTTCAGTGATTCAAGAAGAGAGCTCCAATCGAAGGCTTTCTTCTCCATTTAAAATACATTTAGATTTTTCTTGGAGGATATAGATAAAAAAAAAAAATTATTGTCAATAAGTTTTAAGAGAAGGCACTTTAAATACATGGTGAAGAAAAATTTCACCTTAACTGACTCATTTCGTCTTTTTGCGCTAGATGATAAACACCGCAAAGCAGCAATAGAAAGAGAAAATGGCGGGAAAAATTTATATTTATGTTTTATTTATTTCTTGGCAATACAAAGTAAATAAATGCGCATTGCCTACCCATGTGGATTTTTTCAGAAGTTTAGATTCTTTAGACTTCATTGTGGATAGTGATAAATTAAAAATATAAGCACTTGACCACTGAAAAATACATGCCTTGATTTTCACCGATATTATTCCAATCTACTACTAATTTTTTTATGATTTGAGTTTATCAATATAATAATGAATAACTCAGTTTTAAATGTAAAATTAGAGGTCAATGTTTTACTCTAATAAATTTCAAATGTTACATTTACAACAATAGATAGATAGAGAGGAAAGGGGGAGAGAGAGAAATAGAAAATAGAGAGAGAATATTCATTCATCAAAGAGAGATCATAAGAACTTTAAATTGATTGATATTACACGATGATTACTTGTATTTCCATCATTAAATTTTACGTAAAGGAACCAAATTTATTGATGGCAAAAATGTTAAGCCCATTAGAAGTGTATTTAACAGTTTCAATAGTTTGATAATTTGTTTGTCCCTGCTGTTATGCTCTGGCAACAAATAATACCAATAATATAGTGTATTTCCTTTGAAAAATACACTAAAAAAATCAGGTGGAACTCGAAAGAAGGCGGGAAAGTGATAGCAAACAGTAAGAAAATACTTAGAATCATGTATATAAAAGATTGAAATTAAGAGAAACCAAACAAGTTTTAAATTACAATTAGAATGTGTGCTGATACTACTGAATACATAAAAAAGTTTAAAATATCTGTTTCAAAGCAATGTGGAGGGGACAGGTTAAATCGCACTGTATGCAATACATTGATGCAAATGGGCTTCTTGATTCTTCCCGATAATCTTAAGGGACCTAAGTAAAAATATTAATAAAAATATTTTACAATTGCACTCACAGAAAGTTTTTGAGAACCATAAACTAAACGTATCTTTTTTACTCGGACTATTTATAAGGGAGGAGAGTTTATCACATGATATTCCATTAATCTTTATGATCAAATAGAAATATGTTCTAAAAAAAAAAAAAATAACTTGTGAGGAGGATATATTTAGAATACAAAATTTAGATCCTGACCATTTGGATTTTTTTAAGTTGTTGAGAGAGATAAAGATTACTTTTTTCAGTATTTCCTGGGAAATAAAGTTTTTCCTCAAGAGTAAAAGTAACGAGCACACAGACAAACTTTAAAAACTTCTCAGGGATAGTTATCAACATGGGTGAATGTTTAAACAAATACTGATTTTCAGTTCCATCACAGGCAAACATTGAAAAAAGAGGAAGAAAAAAAAAATCTATCAATTCGGTTAAATTTAGAAGCACTCGAAACAAGAAAGCTCGGTGGAAACAAAAATGGATTATTGCACAGAAATGAGGATAAGATATAGGAGAGGAGGGAAGGACTGATTATCTTTCGATGGAGGTATACAATGAAAGTTTACGCCTAATTTCCCAGCTCCTGAAATATTGACAGAGACAAATTACTGACTCAGAAGTAAGCAAGGTGAGCAGACAAAAGTAGCACTAGCAGCAGATTTGATTTGTGGAGGGTTATTTTCACGTTTTTCCTGGTTCTACTTTTTATTTTCCTTTTTTTCTTTTCTTTTTTTAATTTTCCAAGGAAGAAAATTTTACCGTTAGTATTGTGATTTTAGAATTTTTTTTCCCTTTTAAGGATAAAACAGAGATTTGAGAGACATAGTGGAAAGGTCTTTCATCAAAATTTCTATTCAATAGCTCACTACATCAGGTGCAAATTTAAGAAATTAGAAACAAGTTTCTTCATCAAAATTTCGGGTAGGATATGATTTGAACAACAATATTTACTGAAAATAACGCCTAACAAAAATATAAATTTTGATGCAGAAGTTCAAACTTCCCACTCATAAAAAAACCATTCTCTACTTTAGTTAAATTGCACACTGAACATTACTAAACTCTCCAGAGAATGAAAATATGACAGCCTGAATCTCGAGGCTTCAGCTCATCTGCTGGAAGTTTTTTAGACTTCCGACAAAACAAGATAGGGAACCAGCATTGCTTCACTGAAAAGTCTATCAAAACTGTTGTAGTGTGCAATGTGATCCATGTAGCCCCTGATTTTTCTTTTAAGCAAGAAATTCAAATTTTTCGTAACCAAAGCAAGATAAAACATCTATATCTTGGTTAGGAGTTAATTTCAATTATTTTCCCTGCACAGGTGGTGTTCTACATGACATTTTGAAGAAGAAACATCAATCAAAATGCTTAAATTGGTATTATGTCTAATAGTCCATTATACAAGTATTACGTCATCTGAAAATGTGAATCAAAAACTGAAAAATGGTACTAGATAGTAATCATGTGTTTAAATAAAAATTATATACCTAAAAAAAATTAAAAGTTAACGTTACAAAATCAAAGGACTACGTGCAAAACGGGTCATTTGGGGCTCGGGGCGGATACCTTTGAGACTTGCCCTATTCATTCACCTAACAATGCCCCATTTTTTCCCAAAGTTTCAAGCCCCCCAAAAATTTTGGGGAGACGCGGCGGGGGGTCAAAGTTCAAAACCGGCAAAATTTTCGCGAATTTATTACTCGAAAACCAAGAAGTTTTCGTANTCATTTGTGATGTCTGTATATTCATAATATTCCTATAATTACAACAAAATAAATTAGGTATGTTTAATTTCGTCAGCCTTAAAATTCCTTCATTCTAGGAAAATTTCTTCACTCCATAGAAATGTTGAAAGTATGCATTGAGCCAAAACCATTTTGAAAATCAGCAAGTTTTTTTGGGTTTTAACCTGATTTCTTTCTAAAGCAAAGGAAACAAGTTTTCATTGAAAAATTTCTGGTTCTAACAGATTCCTTATGTGGCGGCGCGGCACTCGCACTCAGCAGTGCGCGTGGCGTGCTGACGCGCCCGCTCGACGCAATTCCGACTTCGGCCGCTAGTTGCAGTTTGATCGCTCGGTTCCCTATCGCAAAGCTGCAAACCAGCCTGGTGGGGAGTCGGCGATCGACTATAAATAGTGGCCGGAGCATAGGCCGGGCACCAGTATTTGATCAAGATTTGTAGAAGACCCACCAGTCGTAGTCATCGGCCAGTCCCGTAAATATCAGGGCTGAGACCCGAACCTTCGCGGCTCAGACCCGTGCTTCCATCACGCCCCGGACGCGTTCACAAACTCGGCTCAGACCCGAATCCCCCCCCCCTTCCCCATCTCATAGCCCAATCTTAGATTTTAGAACCATATATATATATAAATATGTGTATGTGAAGACAAGAAATGAAATAGTGAATAAATATGTGTCAATGAAGCCCTCATAGTTCATCCTTATCAACAACCCAAAAAAACACCCTCCTTACATTGGTGGAGGCGCAACGATCCCGGACCACACAACAACATCTCTACCAGGCTCTACCCCCCAGCACCAAAACGCCTGCACCAGCCCCTGGAAAACCAGCAACCACATGGAAAATTCCGAAGAAACGAAAATCACCAGCCGAGTTGTTCCTTGACCTAGGCTTGGACCTACCAGACCTGCTATCTCCACTACATTCGCCCGTCAGCGCACCTCCGCCACCTTCCAATGGACTTCCACCGGCCATAAACACTCCGCCATTCTCCCCACCCCCGATTCCGGAACACGCCGCTAATCTCTCCACAGCAGAATCACCAGCACCTCCAGGTACTTCAGTGGCAGCGCCCCTACCTCTTTATGCCGCGCCCTGCCAGACCTCCTTCCCTCCTCTAAGTCACTACCCACAATCAGCCCAATTTCTGTATGCCCTCTCCTCCCTGCTAGGCCCCTTACACTACTCTCCAGCCCAACCTGAATATTTTCCATCACTTCAACCCACACTGCTCCCTGAACCATGGGTTCAACCATACACCCCCACCCCGCTGACCGCTTCCATCCTCGTCCACACAGGATTCACTGGACCCACACGGACCAGCAGAAGAGCTGGAAAACGCGTACAGCGCAAAAAACAGCGTTACGCAACTTCGTCAACCCCTTAAGTGCGCCATTCTCTACATTTTTGTACATTATATTTCATTACTATTATTGTGAGGCAGCTCCGTATTCAGCGCCCCTCAAACTTGCCGGCTGCTTTTAAGCGCCCCCCCTAATTTAAGATGCACCGTAATTTTTTCTTTATGTGGCAGCTATCACTAAGCGCCCTCCTAATTTAAGATAGAATGTACTTTTTTCTGAGGCAGCTACCATTAAGCGCCCAACTAATTTAAGATGCACCTTCTTTTCCTTCATGTGGCAGCTATCACTAAGCGCCCTCCTAATTTAAGATAGAATGTACTTTTTTCTGAGGCAGCTACCATTGAGCGCCCAACTAATTTAAGACGCACCGTACTTTTCCTTCATGTGGCAGCTATCACTAAGCGCCCTCCTAATTTAAGATAGAATGTACTTTTTTCTGAGGCAGCTACCATTGAGCGCCAAACTAATTTAAGATGCACCGTACCTCTTTCTTTCTGTGGCAGCTATCACTAAGCGCCCTCCTCCCTTCAGATAGAATGTACTTTTTTCTGAGGCAGCTACCATTAAGCGCCCAGCTAATTTAAGATACACCGTAATTTTTCCTCATGTGGCAGCCATCACTCAGCGCCCTTCTTATTAAAGATAGACTGTAATTTTTCTTTCCTGAGGCAGCTACCACAAAGCGCCCTTCTACTTTAAGATAGAATGTACTTTTTTTTCTGAGGCAGCTACCACTGAGCGCCCAACTAGTCTAAGATATACCATAATTTTCTCTTATGAGGCAGCCACCCTATAGCGCCTCCTACTCATGCCGGCCGCTATTCAGCGCCCATGAGTTAGCTAGACTCATGCTATAAGAAGCCCCCCCCACCCCCATCATTAGCACCCCCTTCAAATGTTCACGTGGCAGCTTCCATAGTTAGCGCCCGTTTTTTCACCCTCCATCTTGCCTGGTTGTTCGGCCTTTTGAAATTGCTTCGCAATTTTGTTAGGTGCGTAAGGTGTGGCGGCGCGGCACTCGCACTCAGTAATGCGCGTGGCGTACTGACGCGCCCGCTCGACGCAATTCCAACTTCGGCCGCTAGTTGCAGTTCGATCGCTCGGTTCCCTATCGCAAAGCTGCAAACCAGCCTGGTGGGAAGTCGGCGATCGACTATAAATAGTGGCCGGAGCATAGGCCGGGCACCAGTATTTGATCAAGATTTGTAGAAGACCCACCAGTCGTAGTCATTGGCCAGTCCCGTAAATATCAGGGCTGAGACCCGAACCTTCGCGGCTCAGACCCGTACTTCCATCACGCCCCGGACGCGTTCACAAACTCGGCTCAGACCCGAATCCCCCCCCCTTCCCCATCTCATAGCCCACTCTTAGATTTTAGAACCATATATATATAAATATGTGTATGTGAAAACAAGAATTAAAATATTGAATAAATATGTGTCAATGAAGCCCTCATAGTTCATCCTTATCAACAACCCAAAAAAACACCCTCCTTACACTTAAATTCAGATTTTTCGGCCCAAATTGACAAAACTAACTCTCCTGAAAAATTAATCTCTGACCCCTTTAACGGTTTGTCGGCCTTCTGTGGTGTGGTCACTGTAGCACTTGCTCTATGATTGGGAGGTTCTGGGTTTGATTCCCGGCCAGGTGACCCGAGTTTGATGGTCTCAAATAACGGTTAGCTGAGGCTGGCTTGAAGAGGGAAGGAGGGGGGACGTGGCTCTAGGGATGGTTAAGCGCAGGATTATCCCTTATGGAATACTTGAGGTGTTAAAAAAAAAAAAAAAAAANGGTGTTAAAAAAAAAAAAAAAAAAAAAAAGACCACCTATTAATTTTAAAGATAGATTAAACCAGAGGCTATGTTACCTTCATCATCTTATCTAAACTGGAAGAATCATTGCTGAGAGTGTTAACAGGTGACGGAGTTTTTGGTACAGAAGATGTTACGGAGCCTCCACTGGCTGCAGGAGTTGCAGAGGGAGTTGAGGAACTAGTTTTCATTGAGGGCGGTGCTTTCAGCTGGATTTTGAAGGAATTATCGTTTGGAAGGGAGCCCATGGAAACGAGATTGGGTGGTTGCTTGCAACCTGAGTTGGACGTTTGAGGTATATGCCACGATGGCTGTGGAGATTGTGAGCCTTGGACTCTTTGTACAAGTTGCTTGGCAGTGTGGCTGTAAGACCCTGGATGCCGCATTCCCATCATTTGTAACTGTTGTTGCTGGTGGTGTTGCTGTTGCTGTTGTTGATGATGCTGTTGTTGTTGCTGCTGCTGTTGTTGCTGATGATGATTCTGTAGAAAAATGAAATTCAAACTTAGAAGTAACTTGGGATAAGAATTGAAAAGATGTTTTTTAACCGGGTGACATACTATGGCTGACGAACATATTGCCCATCGACAAACTGACGATTTTGCGGGACGAAGAAAAAACTTCGCCATTTTGTAATTTAAAGATTAGATTTGCAATTTTTTCATGCGTTACAGTGTCATTACAGTGTCATTGCAGCGCTCCCCTATAGAATTGGAAAAAAACTAAAATCATCAGCTTGCATATTTTATACTGTAAAATGTGGTAAAGTTGCTAAGTATATTTGCCAAAACTGTCAGTTAGGCCGTATTGTTTGTTAGTGCTCGTATTTTATTTTCTAGAATCCTTCTTGGAAATAAACACCTCTTTCCTCTGACAATATTCATAAAAGGGAAGATATCTGGTCGATTTCAGAAACACTACACATAAACTGAGTACAGGAATTTGAGCTGCTTCTAAAGTTCAATGTTAATAATGTTTTAGATGAAGAGTTTTTAATTTCATGATACCAATTTAAAGGTTCAGTCAAGAGGGTTACTGGACAATAATTTTTAACGTTCTTTTCATGGAAAAATAAAAGGAAAGCATACTCTTCAAGTAGTTCTATGATACCATTTACGGCTGATAGATAAGGAGATGAGAGCTACAAAACTTAAAACACAACATACCATGTAATTATTAGGTTGCACTGGTACATAGCGGACAGGAACTGCTGGTTGTTGAAAAGCAACATTTTGGTTTGGTATTCTATACATATTTACTGGCATTCGAGGCGCATAAGACTGCTGTTGCTGCTAGAATAGAAGAAAAATTAGTTAAAATGCTACTGAGATACATCCACAAAATTTTAAAAAAAGAAGAAGAAAAAAAGGTGAACAAGCCTAAACAATTTGAGAAACACTGTACCTAGAGCCAGGATGCTACAAGCTGAAGTGAGCTCACTTCCAAGCTCTAAGATACCATAAAATAATGAAAATAAGAGGAAAAATCTTATCCAAGTTGTTATCATGCAACTACTGGTAATAATGATAACATTGATAATGTTGATAACACTGATAACAACTGACATCAGGTCACCACTTACATTTTTATTACTTTGTTTTATTCTGGCTGCTGAAAATGAATTTGTGATACATAGTTGTTAAGTTCATGTATTCTCTAGTATTTTTAAAATAATTTTTGCCTTATTTACCTATTTTTTTAGTTCATTCTCTAACATTATCCTATTCCGAGGTTCAGTGGCGTGGCGTGAAGGATCGATCATCGATATATCGCCATTTGGAGCTATGGTAAAGAATCCATTACTAGGGTGTTCGCTGCAAACGCCCTGATAATCGATCTTTTTTCATAGGTTTGAATGACGAATCAATCGATATATCGCAAAGCACGCCACGCCACTGCCGAGGTTACTTAGTTCGTGTATTTTTGTTACAATTTAACCCATTCGCAAAGTAACATTTCTTTTCTTGCATCGCCCAGGAACACAGGCTGATTTAACTAAAATCAGTAACTTTGGATAACTTGCACAGGGTGCGCAACTCGTTACTCTACCAGTGACGCATTAACCGAGCTTCTAAAATTTTTACATTTTTCAATTCTTTGATGTATTATTGGTATCAAGATGAGCGTGTCACTCCTCTACGCAAAGATACCAACAAATTACTTTTGAATTTTTCAGCACTACTATCTCTTGCCCTATGGACAGTCACAAATTAATGAATAATAAATAAATTGGTTTACGCAGAGAGAAAACACTATTTAAGAGAAGAAATTTCGGAGCATACCTGTGGGTAGTTGCTATTGTGACCGAGGAGCGTTTTTAAATTAGGATCATTCATCATTGCGTTGTTTGGATGTGTGGAAGAGGTGACTTGCGATAATCTGTTTTCTCCATTAAAATGTTGCATTCTCATTTGATGGCCTGATACATTAGAAATACAACAAATGTTAGAATATTAACGTGTGATGTAAAAAATTTGACAATGATAAAACTAGCCTAAAGAAAATTAAGCCATCTAAAAAAAATTATGCAGCTGAAAATTATTTTAGATTCACTATTCTTCCAATCCATTGTTGAATCACGAAAATAAAGTAAATGAATACTTGAATAATGAAATAAAATCTTAATGTATTCTTACTGAGTATTTCTTTGCACACCATTGAACCTCACGAGGTCGAAACTGGCATAAGTTGGAAACTCGACTGACTTGTAAATATAGCCCGTTCTGTTTTTTCGCCCATTTACACAATGCTAAGGAATTCCACACAATTTGGAATCTGCAAACTCAAGAAACCCTCTAGTTCGTGACATTAATTGGTTCCAAACTTGAAAAGATCTCTTCATAAGCTCCACTAACTTATAAAAGATTTCTTATCTCCATTCATCCATTCTTTGTGAATTCTTTCTGCACCCTTTTGCCCTTACTCTCATTCTTGGCTGTCAGCACAGCAAGCTGTGTGCAGGGCTTAAGTCAAACACTATCGGAATGTGGGGAGATACCTGGAGCTCCAAGATTGCAAAAGGAATTTTACCTTCAGGCAGCATTTAATGATTTTCATCAATATTGCTGAACTTGTTTTACAGGTATTTGTCCCTTCAAGTACAATTTTTCTTTGTAAGACTTAGGAGTATCTATTCTTATTATCGTTAGACTTAAGATTTCTTCTAACCCACAAAACAACTCACAAGGCGAAAGGATATTCGTAAGCATGTTCTACCTGGAGGAACTTGTTGACTGTTTCGTCCATGTTGAACTAGAGTAATATTGCGCGGTATCTGTGGATGGAGTTGCGAAAGACTATGCAGCGGGCTAGGTTGCCTGTGCGGTGGCGGTGGGGTTGGCTGCTGTCTTCCGCTGGGTGGTGGAGTTCGCTGCTGATAGGGAGGGAGAGAGCCGGGAGGTAAAAGGGGAGCAGATCTACTCCCTGAACTGGATCCACCAGGCGCAGTCATGTTCTGATGAACAACTTGATTCTGTTGAGGAGGAGGTGTTGGATAAATAGCACCAGGTGAGGGTGTGTTCGGATGTGGGTAGACACGACCATCAACCATTATTGAGCCCATACTGCTTACGGCTGTGAAGAAATTATGAAAGTTCTATTGAGTAACAGTACAGTTAGGTCTAGGAATGCTAAGGTACTCACTTTTATACTTCAAAGTTCGTTTAAAGTCCATTACAAGTTATAAGCTTGAACAATAGCTGAGGTATGACTGTACCAACAAGTAACAAGCTTTGATCTATTTATGATGTAATGAAGCATAATCATTGTCAATTTTAGGTGGGTTAAGGCAGATTTCTTTTTCGAAAGAGGGGATGGACATCAAATATGCATTTTTCCTATAAAATGCATTGAAAAGTTCTTTTAACAACATTTTGATGATTATGATAATTTATGATCAACATGTATTATTTGTTAATAGAACGCAAATCACGAAAACAAAAGGGCTCAGTTGAATCAGGCAATTCAAAAACACGTCATCTCTTCATGATGTTGCTGTTTTTTTCTTTTCATGTTTGTTTTTTTTTTTTCTTTTAAACTACTGGCCTGCTGATCAAATCACCTTTTTCAGGCTCTGTGTGCCTTTCCTCTACAAATGAGGATCTACAAATGATAAGTGCCAAACCGGATCAGTCAAACAATTAACAAGGATTTTTCAAAACAATTAGAAAGCATGCTTTCAAACTACAATGAATGTAAATATTAATGACTGGGATGACTCCTTATCGTAAACAGTTTTAGCCTGTACGTTAATTTTTTATTTAGTATAGCTTATAAGTTTTGAAAAAGTTCTTTGTTCTTTATAAAATTAAAACCAAATAATTACCTTTTATTAGCTCAGGGATTTTATCCAGAACTAAATTAATACGCACAGGAATTTCTGGGTTAGGTATATCAGCTCTCCGACTTTTTATCCTTTGTAAATGATTTATGACATTCCTGAAAAGAAAGAAATCACAATTGGATCAATGAATGTTTGACACAGGCACAAAAGAGTCTAGGATGTAATGCTGGTAAAACAAAAAGTACATATACACAGAGATCTCCTGGCAGTGTTGAAACACAAGAAAAATTTTCTGCGACCAGAATAAATCAGAGGTTAGAGATGAGAGATACTACAGATAAATGTGGGTGAGAGAGGAGACGGTAAGAGATAGTATTTTTGATGTATTTCATGGACCCAAAAATCTATCCCAGCACTAAATATTATTCAATTAGTTCTGATGAATTTCTAAGATGTACTAAGTATTGGATTAGAATACACAACCATTCCTTCAAGTAACAAAACAGTGAAATTTACTCTACAGAAACCTAGAGTCAAATTAGCCTGGTTCTCTTAACAAAGCTCAAAAGCTGCAACATAGTCAGAAGGCTCTTTTCATTTGGATGGGATTGCATGAGGTAGTTCCAAGAAATTTGCACCCGGTTTATGCCTAATCCTCACAGAATTAGAAAAGAAAGTAGCACTGGCTGATAAAAGTTGGACCATTTTAAAATAAGTTTCAGATGAGAAGAGACGCAGAAGAGTGTCATACACAAATTACTTAAGATTAAGTAAATTTTAATTATGAAAATTACTAATACTTACGTTTTAGAAAATAAAAAAGCCATATCACTTCCATGAGAGAGAGCGTTTGTGACAAATTCTATACAATGATCAGTCAAAACAGAGAGTTGCTCCAGATCTGCTTTCTTCTCGTTGAGTGTCATTTGCTTTGATTCGCATATTTCATTCAACCTTAGAATTAAATTCTTACCCCTTGCATTAATTACTTGAGTTAATCTGAAAGAGAAACATAGGGAGAAAATTAATAGATGAAATTGATACAATACGTATAATACATTGATATTTTAAGCATAATGTAAACAAATGAAATAAATTAAAAAAAAAACAAAAAAAAAACGGAAAATTAAAAAATCAAACTCATAGGATTATTTTTAATTTAATTTTGTGAGTTTGAGTTTTTCAATTTTCCAGTTTCCTTTATTTCATTTATTAGCTCACAATTTGATACCTTGGTATCTCATTTGTTTTGTTTCTTTCCTTCGGTTTCATTAAATGTAAACAGATCATTGTCAACTATAAATTTAGGGGAGTTCTCTTAAATGAGGATATTTGTCTCCTTAATTTTATTGTCCTTCTTAAAGGAAAACCGTAGAAAAAGGGAGTCTGTTGGAGCCTCTGGTTGAAAGGGAAGATTTGCTGTTTGTGGAACACTGAAAACTTATCCATAGTGGAAAATAAAAGAAACTATTATCAAATTGAGTGAGCATTACTTACTTCAAAACCATTTGAGTAATTTCTTGAAACAGTTGTTTTTTCTTTTCTGCAATTAAATTCTGACGGTCATCAATAACTTTCATTGCATTTTTGAGAAGACGACGCTTATAGCTGAAAAAATTGAAAGGGAAAGTAAAAAAAACTGATGAGGAACAAGTGCTTTCTACACTAAAATGATTGTTTTTTAAAAGTACAAGGGGGAATCATACGTGGAGATATATAAATATTAAGAATTATAGTTTATCTTCTATAAAAAAAAGAAAAAAAAGAAGTACAAACAGAAATGTATGTTCAGTGATTATTAAATGAACGGGCAAAAAATGTCATTTTAGTAAAATGTCCATAGATTAAAAATTGATGATATCGCATGAACTATCCAGATCAAGTTTCCAAAAACACTAAATCTTTAGATCGATGTGGGAGAAATTGGATGCTACCAAATTTTCTGCCATAAAACACTTATTTTTGAAAAACATTAGAATGTTTTCTTGTGCGTTTTGGATACACTGGATTCATTCATGAATAAATCCAATGGGAATTTTCAAAAGAAAAAAAAGTTTCCCGGGATATTTGTATTTTACAGGGAAAAGATGACATCGCTGGTCTCTTGGCAGGGCAATTCTACTGAGTACTGTAAATTTTCCTTCTTTCGCTTTTTGCTACTTTTATGAATAAAAATACTCAACTGCATTTGGATTAAAATGATAATATTAATCGAAATTTCAATAAGTTTAAAGATGTATATTTACCTAACATCAGATAATAAGACAGAGACAGTTTCCCTTGTGTCCGCAGCCATTTCATTGATAAATTTATATTTATGATCTCGGTGTTCAGTTAGTTGACAATCTCGACAAGTTAATCTATCACAGCTTTCACAAAACAAGGAGAGCCTCTCCTGAAAAAGAAAGAAAGGAAAACAAATTGAAAATTCATATAGAGCTACTATCCAATTAAGCCTTCAAGATTTGAGCTGGGCTCTTTCAAAGATAAATTTTGGCTATTAAGTTTTTATTTTATCTAAATTTTTCATGGGGAGTGAAAACAAGGGAAGGGGAAGCAAACAAATTTAATCGCTGGTAAGATCCACCACCTTATCTTATTCTAAGGTTTCCAAATTATTGTAGGCAAGCCTCAAGAACATTTATTGCCAAAATCATCACACAAAATGTATGAATTCATCATCCCCCTACACTCACTAGACCTACATAAAAAAATCGTTTGAAGAGGTTTTCTTCCAAATTCGAAGTAAATTAAGATAAGCTTAATATGAGCTATTAAAAACCAACACTTCAGAATAGGTGCCCAGACACCTATTAGATTTGCCAACAGATCTACATAAAGGGAACTTATCTTCCAGGATAAAATCTTCCCTAATTTTTTGCAAAAACTTGCCAGGGTTTTCTACAACCTGAGAATGTTTGTCTTGAAACTTCAGGACTAGTTTCTACTTCAATTCTAAAATTTTAGGGTCAAACTTAGGCCAAAATTTCCTGTGTCAGTCATTATTTTACCATCACTAATAATTCCCTTGTTTCTGAATTTACAGGATTACAATGCACACTTCCAATGACAATGACTTTCGTTTTTAAAGGATCATAGTGCCTCGTTATGTTCTGAAAAAGATGACCTGTTTGCACTACTTGTTTCCTTTTCAATACTTCATGGATAAATAGATAAATGAAGAAAAACAGTAAAATACACCTTACCTGCACATGCACAGAACAAAACAAGCTTTTGGGCAGACATTTTTTAGGTAAAATTAATTCTCCTAGATCACCCTCTTCTTTGGGTTTTATTGTATGTTCTTTTGTAATTTTCAGTCTAAGGTGAGCCTGAAAAAAAATAAGAGCTAGAATTAGAGAGACTTTGTGATTAAAAATAGAAGAAGAAAAAATTATAATTAAATTTTTAAAAGCAAAAACTTGATCTGGTCCTATGATCAAGTTCAGTTCAAAAATATTGATACGTTAGCAACATCAATATTGTTCTTAATTTTGGAACCCTCTGAGCGCTGATGACTGGCTAAACTAGAAGATGATAAATCTGTTTACCTATAAATTACGATCTCATGACTCCAAAAATTGTTTGAGAAATATGTTTTTTAGGTTTAGTTGAAACAGTCGAGTGAAAAATTTCGGTTCAAAAAATGAGTAGGAACATGATTTGGGCTGCATCTGGTGTCAATAGTGCATCCTTGCTATGATTAAATTAGCTACAAAGCGCTTCTGTTGAGAGTTTTACAAAACTTGACAGTAAAATTTGCAACGAAATTCACAAAAATACATTCACTGACAAAATTTATGTTTTCTCTTGCTACCTTCATACATAGCAAGGTAGGGTAAATCAAGGTTAGGGGCGCGTAAAATCAAATAAATTGGACAATTTCGCCCATTGTTCAGGCCTATACTTTTTAAAATTTACTAGGATCATAAGTGAAAAAGGAAAAATAAAAAAAGTACTGTTTTTAGAGATTCAAAAAACCTTCCTGACAAAATACATAAGATACGTGTAAAAAAGCAAAAATACTTCAGGGATGCCACAGAATTTAGAAAATGAAATTGCCTTACATTTGCCTGATTTCCCTGACACAGAATTGTGAAATTCCCTGACATTGAAGATATGCCAGGTGGCTAAAAATACATAATTATAAATAGTTTTCAGGCAAAATATGTTGTTCGGAACGTCAAAATTGTTTTAGAAAGCAAGTAAAGATGGCTTAAAAATTTTTCCTGACATTTTTGTCTTTTTCCATGACATTCCCAGGTTTTCCCTAACTTTTTAAAATTCCCTGACATAACCCGGTTTTACCAGTATTCCCTGACTACGGCAACCCTGTGTCATATACTTGAAGCAACTTAGAGATCCTGCGGGTTTAAGTTGAAAAAAAAAATTGGATGAGAGGAAAGGGGTGAAAATTACCTGTACACAACTATCGCAAATATATTCCGCGCATTCAACACACCAGCTTGTAGCCAGTGCTCCAGACTCTGAGTCGGAACAAGAGGTACATTTGAGATCATTCAGTCTTGCAGCTGCTTCAGCAGATGCGCCATTCTCTATTGGCAGTACAGATGCATTTTCTATGAGAAAATGATTCTCGGTGAGGTTGTCCGCAAAGCAACTGATTTCACACTTCGGACATTTGAAGAAATTATTTGGCTTGTCACCTGAAACAATTGAAAAAACACACCATGAAATTTATGAACAATAAATGATTATATGAAATTGAAGAACAATAATTGGATTGCATTTTGTGAAAAGGAACCAAGAGCATTCCAATGTTGCAACGATTGTGCAACTTACATTCTTTGCAACAAAATTACTGAAATCGTCAAAAAATTAAATTTACGAGGGTAATTTTCGTTTCAAATTCATAGTTTATTCGAAGTTAAGATAAAACTCGTTTAGATGATCAGTTTATATTAGCACGGTAAAAAAAGTTGCACAATCTTAGCGACAGTGTAATGCTCTTGCTTCCTTTTCGCAGAATACTATTCAATTAATACACCGATAAACCTTGATTTGTGACAACAAATACATTGCTGTGAAAAACTAACAGCTCGCGGCATCATACATTTTACAAAAATATTATAAATTTGTTCATTATCATGGTTTGAATATTTGAAAATCTGATCAAACATAATTGGCGAAACATGTCTCATAATTCACCCCTCCCCTCGTAATGTTGACTCCTGTGTGACTACGTCTTTAGGTTGAGATGGAGTTACAGCGTACATCGATTTATCTCTTTTAATGACGACAAGCAAGTTTTTTAGTAAGACCTGCAATAGTTTTCCTAACCACCTCCCGACAAATTCAGCACATTATCATCATAGGCGTTGGTAGGAGATGTTTTGGAGCGGGCGGGGGGAGAGGAATACACCCCCAAGAGAGTTGTAACCAGTGATGCAGGAAGTTCTTACCTTCCCATTTAAAAAAAAAAAAAAAAAAAAAAAACCCTTTTTCAGGAATTTTAAAAAGGTTACTTTACCATGATTCTGTACATATAAATTTCCGCGATTTGACAGAAACTCGTGATTTTAACCGTAGCTTTGTAACGATATTTTGCTGGTTTTCTTATTTTTTTGATCTCAATATCGAAGCCTTCTCAATTTCACAAGCGACCGATCGCGACTCGCCCGGTCGTATGGTCGAGAAGTTTTTGCACCCTTCCAACCCAACACTAGCGCTCAATACCACTATGTGTGCAAAGAGCCGACCCCCCCCCCCCCCCCCCCCAGCAAAAATTTCTGGGGAAGCCCTTTGCTTAATTAGATTACGTAAACGGCACAGCATCTGCCACGTGTAAATTAAATATTTAATTAAACGCTGCTAAGGCAACGGCACTACACTACCGATGCTTCCAATCGCTCGCCATCACGACGCATTTAAATCAAAAGGAACTATATCCATTGTGACAAAAGCCGTTATGCATGGTACTATAATGGATCTCGGGGCTCATGTCAGAGCAAATATAGTTCCTTTTTATTTTAATACGTTCAACTTGTGAACACAAAAGCGAACCCCACGCCCCACGTGCAAGCCAGTGGCGTGGCGTGAATTGCGATATATCGATTGTTATGCCATTTAAACCCATGGAAAAGGATCGATAAACAGGGCGTTCGCAGCGAACACCTTAATAATCGATTCTTTACCATAGCTTTAAATGGGGAAATATCGATATTTATCGAATCACGCCACGCCACTGGTGCAAGCGTGGGGAATCTTCTCCGTCCATAGTGAGATTTTCACAGAGGACCCGCTGAAAATTACGACCACCCCTCGTCAGGCGCTGTAAGGCAATTAACGGATGAAAGCGTGCGTGCAACGCTTGAGGCATATCTACGCTATTGCAGGCGCTGCCGGTATTGTCCGCCGTAATTAGAATTCGCGACGTCCACGTGGGCTTTTTCGGAGCTAATGTCACACGATCGAACTGCGTCATCAACATATCAGGGTCAAGTGCAGTGTTCGAAGCTCGCCTTTGAATTTTAGGAGCCATGTGGCGCTTCAAGCCTGATTTTTAGGCGCCATTGAAGATTTTTTAGGGGCCAAATTGACATTTTGCCTTTATATTACTGCGCATTTAGTGAAAAGTTAGACGCAAGATGTTTTCGGAACAAAACTAGTAGAAGCTGTAACTTGGGGAAGACAAAAGCACTAAGAATGAAATCGTGAAGAATAGAAAAACCAAGCTTTCGCTTGTAGTACTGAACATTCTGAGTTTTTTTCAATTCAAATAGATTTGTTTTTCTTCCTTAATGTGACTTCCTGTGAAAATCCAGATTTTTAGGGACCACGTTGGCGCAGAGCTTCATTTTTTATGCGCCATGACCGACTTTTTAGCCGCATTTGGCGCGTTGGCGCCTGTGAGTTTCGAACACTGGTCAAGTGCTGGGGTTGGTTCAATTTATCGAATGAGCCAATCACAACGACTGACCTTGATAATTTGATGGTTAGGTTTGGTCGTGTGACAAGAGCTTCTGACGATCGGTGATCCAGGATCCTAGGTGGCCGCGACGATCGGAACCTTTACTTAGAAATTATTTTACGCGAATCGAATTCCTGATTTTTTATTTTTATAGATCGTATACTTTGAAATAAATTTTGTTTTTGGTTCTAATACTTTACCTGGATGGCGACTGGAAAAAGACATACAAGTTCCCTGACTTTTCATCGATTTTAAAGAAAAAAGAAAGAGGGTAGTGCAGAAATGATGGACCGATCAACAGACGTAAAACGCCCTACGCCCTACTAAATTTTAGTTATCGCCCTACGTTTCACTTTGTAATTAACCTGATGATGGCTGACACAGCCGAAACGGCCATAGTAGTTTAAGTTTGGCAACCGAAGACAAATTCACATCGGGCGAAAAAGAGATGTAAGTGCTATAGGTGCAACCCGATAAAGAAAAAAGAAACAGAACCAACTTAACTTTTCACTTGAGAAACCAAAAATTCCAAAGTCAACGTCAAATTCCCTCGAGTTTCCCAGTGTTTCCCCTCAAAATTCCATTTCCTGAATTTTTCAAAAAAGGCTAAACTCTTAATTCAAAGGGATATTATTCCTCTATCCTCCCCAATGGTCACACCTGGTTTTCAGCTTTTTAAACACACTGTGATCAAATCAAAGGCGATCCTGCGGGGGGAGAGATAATAATTTTGAAAAATCATCAAGGAGTTGCCAATTTATCAATCCTAAACCTAACCTATTTATCACGAAAAAACCTAACTTCATTTCAAAGTTGCCAAATTTTCCCTCACATATTGCATTTTTAACCTGTGGTATTTCTAGCTGAAAATTTCACTGATTTTCTTTCTGATCTCATGCAAGAGTAAGACAAATTGGATTGAATTTTTCAACGAGAAACCACCATCTCTGGTTCTTCTGTAAAGCACCTTTCTGCACACGGTAACCAATGGCATATCTATTGTTTCTAAAATGAGCCACAAATAGTGGTTCCTTATTGCAAAATGTAATCTAATTTTAGGCAATAATTTCACCGATACATTCATGTAAAAATTTTAATTGTTTGAGTTGATTCCGCAACCTTCGAATGGAAAATTCTTCTGTCCCAAAAACAACCAATCCCCCCCCCCCCCNAAAAGGTCAACGTACTGACAAGATCTAAGTGACCCCACCGATGAATTAGCGTGAGTAACATACTTGACAGCAAAGGTGCCTCATGCTCAATCTTGCTATGATCGAGGTATTTAGGTGAAGGCTTCGAAAAGAGACTTTAATGCGTGACTAACCCAGATGACGGTCTGAAAATTTCGAGGTCAACGACTTGGCCGCTGGCCGAACAAATCCATAAATTAAACATAATACTTTGGCAAAAGCTCGCGGCTGAATTCGAACGAAGCCTCCAAGGCTACGAAGGGGACAACCCACTTTCAGATAGCCTTACTGCGACCTTTGATAAATATAAATAATTATAAACGAATGCTTAAAGAATGAGCCAAGATAAATGGATGAATGAATCAATGTATTTGAAGATATTTATTGTCATGTGGATGATCGGCTTCATAGGAATCGCTTTACTTTTATCGCGGATCAGATCTGCCTGGGCACTTCATTCAAAGAGGTCTAAACAGGACATCTTAATCTGGAGTAAACGGAGAGTAAATAGGGGGTTACTCCTTGGTCGCTACGCGGCCCGGCCCCTGACAGAAATTCTGCGGCTTCGCGCTCACAGGGCTGCGGGAACCTGAATCTTAATTCGGAAAAGTTGCTAGTATCGTAACGGAGAATTGATGGCAGGGCTCACGCAGAGAATATTGTTAGACTCCTGCAGATGCAAAAATGTCAAGAAGTGAACAGTTGGGGAGCGCGAGAACCTAAAAAAAATCAAGTGCTCTTTTTTTCTTCCCTTGATGGGAATAATATCAACTACCTACGTGCCTCAGACCTTGGCATCGTCTCAGAATTCAAAATGATAGAAAACTGCTGTCATTTAAATGACAGGATAAATTTAAGGGGGTGGGGAGGAGAGATTGAGATGATTTTCGCGGCAAAAATATGAAAAAATCCAAATGAAACGCCACGTTCAAAAAAGTTTGTATACTTGAGTTCTATGTACTGTTTTTAACTGAATTAAAGTGCGTGTTTATTTCAACACATGGCGTGAAAATTTTTTCGGCAACTGCTGCTCTTTGAAGCGATTGCATTCGACCAATCGAATCAATGTAATCAAACATTTTACATCGACTGACACAAGTAAAACTTAAAGGCAGTCTAGACAAAACGCATTTTCACGGGCGGGAAACGCTAGCTTTATGGAGCGAGATCACGGTATGTAGGTTCATTTGAATCCGATCTTGATATTCTAGTTTCAGTGACCTCTAAAATCTTCTAGTTTGTAAGTACCTCCAAATTAATCATTGAGCGATTTGCTCCGAAAATATTTGACTCAATCTGAACTGAACATTATACCGTCATACCTAAAAATTGTTAAACGCAGTTTAACAGGCCTCGATTGTGCATTCTGCAGAAACTGCGACTACACGGGGACAAAGTATTACTGAACCTTAGTTCACATTTAACACCAAACTTTTTCGGATTAGGTAACCGATATTTCCGGTCATAGGAACGGAGTTCTGATTGACTGGGCCACAATTCGGTTTCTGAGACCGAAAACTTCGGGATTCAATGTGAATCAAACTTT